CTAACACAATCTACAATTTTTTCAAAATGCAACCCAATAAAAAAAATTTTGTTCTAAAATATTGAAAAATTGAATTTATAAAATAGTCTTCTTGTTTTGCTAACAAAAATTTAAATCATTTTATCAAAACATGATATTTACTCTGTTTAAATGTAAAAATGTACTAAGATTTTTATTTACAATTCATTAATATTAAAAAAAATTTTTGATCTCTTATCAATAAATTGAGAAAAATGCTTTGAAGATTATTTTGGCAATGATGTGATAGTGTGTTATGATGATTTGGTATTTCTAACATGTTTTTTACTGAAATAATAAGCAATTTAAATTTAACAATCAAAAAATAATTTCACATTAATATTTTATGAATATATGTATCTATTTATAAAATCTTACTGACTTTAATAAAATAGTTTATACTTATCATTCTGTTAAAATCAGTCAAGTGTAAACATTAGGTATGAAAAAAACATAATTTATTTATTGCTAATGAATCTACATTTTAATAAATTTTAGCATTTTTCCCCTGATATATTTTAATGATCTACTAGTTGTAAAATCAATAAAACACAGTTCGGCAGAGCTAGTGTTATGATTTATAATAATTTGTTTATAGCATGTTTAGAAGCAATAAACAATTAAACATACTACATATGATTTTCTAAAGGTATAATGTTACTTTAACAGAGTTATTTGCAAATAAATTCTAGAAATAGCAGTTAAGACCAAAAAAAAAACAACTCATATTTAAGTAATTAACATAATTTATAATGTTTATATCTGTTATAAACAAAAACACTGTAATGTATAATTAACTATATAAATCAGAAATTATTGATTTACTATCAGAAGGATTCAAATGTATAAAATATATGTTTTATTTATTTTATATTTATATATAAAATATATTCCTTGTATAGATGGGTTATGTTGACCCATATATGTAATTATCTCTATCAGTAACAAGACAACAACGTGCTGTGTATCTCAAAAAGTGATTGACACATTAGAACATGTTAAAAGAGTACAGCTTTTCCATTCCATTACTCTTGGTATCATGAATTATATCTAGCACTGGGTCACAGAGATCCCATCAGTAGCAGTTTTCATAAAGTTTCAATTAACTCAGAGTTATGGATTAGTATTATTTTAATGTTTCAAACAATGTTTTATGTTTAATGTACACCCCTTCTCGTTTTTATGAAATGTATTCTATTGATACCTGGGTGTTTGTGCTTATTATAATTGGTTTGATAAGTCCTTATTATCTACCTCACATTAGTAGATTTTTAATTAATGTTTTATGTATTCACTGAAAAAAGTAAAACTTTACTGTCTAATGATAAGTTTTATAACTTTTGTCTTTAGTGCTCTGGAAATAGAACTTCTTTTATAACTGTTTAACTTAGGACATTCATCTTTCATTTATGCTTTTAAGGAATGCGTTATTATATCTGAAAGTCTGGTATATCCTGTGTGTATATATAGTGGTGCTGTAAACCAGACTAATTGGGGCCAGATTCACTTCAGATTATCAAATATACATGTAAATTATCATTTTAAGTACTGTAAATGCCAAACACACTATAATTAAAGTTTAGTTATTCTAAGTTCAAGCCAGTATTTCATGAAGAATGTAGGAATACTGTATATACTTGAGTAACAGTAGATCCAATATAAAAGTTGACCCTAGTATTTCATGGACAACAGGTCAACATTTGTAGTCATACAGATTTTCCAGGATTGTTTCATTGAGAACAAACATGAAAATTACATATAAAAATTCATGTAATTCCAGTTTCATATTTTTCAAAAAATGTTTCAGAAAACTGATTGCTTTTTTTCTGCAACTTTTAATATCACATCTGAAATATGGAAGTTGATTGGAATTTAAATCTACTTTTAAAGTCATACTTTGATCCCCTTGGCATGATAAATTACTACATTGCATCCTAGCTAGAAGAATATCCTGTGTTACTAAAATTTCATTTTTTAAAGATATAATATGAAAAAAATAAATGTAGAAAGTAATGGTTTTTATATGAAGTATATGTATAACACAAAGTTTGTCATATGTTTATCATCAATAATTTAAAAACAAAGTTCAAGGTTGGATATATTTTTATCACGACCTTCATATAAGATAGGAATAAATATTACTTAAAGTTGCTTTGGCAACTGATCTGATTAGGAAAAACTTCACTTATGGTTACATAATATGTCATTATAGTACAGAAAGAATAATTAAGAACTGATTATTTGATAAAATGTGAAATATGATGCAATATTTTTATCATTTCTGCATGTAATTACTAACTTTTAACAATATAATTTTGTTAAATAAGTGTGTAAAAATAAAAATTTGGAGAATTAAATTGTTAAATATGAATAATTTGAACATAAAATTATTGAGAGAATTAATTTTTGATTTCTACAGTGAGACTATTTGTTTGCTACAAAAGATTGAATGTTTTATTTTTATAATTGAATGGATTATATTTAGATACTGGAGTAATAATCTATATATCAATATGTAATAACAAATTTTATAATTAAATTTTCAAGTTTTTGTCATTTTCCTCCCCCTTTGTAAAAATATGATAACTTTGCTAAATTTAAGTGTATAAATATAATTTACACAATAGAAATTTCTGAACTCCAACAAAAATTCAGAGTATAAGAAAACTGCTTTATTGGAATGAACATCTTGAAATATTCAAATTTTGAATCATTTTGAAGCCTGACTGACTCTTAGTGTTACCACCCATCCAGTTTTCACCCAGACAGTCCGGGAATTGACTCACTGTCTTGGTGAACTATTAATTTTGTTCGGGAATTTCGCAGAAATTGTGAAATTACAATGAAACAAAGTTCTTGCAAATATTTTTACAAATTTACACTATTTTAACAGCAAATGAACTCACACTCAGCGAAACTCATCTGCAATTCTGCCATGTTAGAGTCTGGTTATACTGTGTGGTGTGCAACCCCTGTTGACCCTTTTTTTTTTTTATTTACTTGTATGATCGTACACGTCTCAAACAGAGCTAAGTTATCTGTACCATTTTCTTCTTAATTTAGGTTACTTACATTACTCCTGTGCAAGTCCCTAGTCCCTAACTGTAACTGATTTAGAACTGACATGCACATTATTCTTCACATTGTAAAATGAACTTCTGTTTGAACAAACCTGGTGTGCCGTCCGGGTCAGCGATTTTCAAAAGGTGGCAACACTACTGACTCTATTTACAATTTGAACATTATAAATAGATTGTTTTATTGTTTTGTTGAATTTTTAATAGTTTAATATTCATAAAGAACATTTAGATGATTCAATAATTTCTGTAGTCATACAACTATCTTTTATTATTAATCTCATGTTGTGGCTTGTGATGACAATCTTGATGTAGGTCTAAAAAACCAATGAACATTTTCTCTACCTCTCTACAAACTATTACTCACAAAAATTTGTTTACAATTCTTGATTTTTGTCATTTTATATGCTTCATGCCACTACTTTTTGTAAGTTATTTTATTGACAAAGAATTAATCAATAAGCAACATATATATATATATTTATTTATTTTACAATTTAAATAATTTAATAAAACAATGTTCTCATATGTATGATAATCAGTCAAAAAACTTTCAATCACAATTCCAGCTTAAAGAACTTGTATCTGAAACAAATTGCATAATATTTCATTGCACATGAGCTTCTCCAGATCATTGCACAAAAAATCTAATTGATTGGATTGGAATGTCATAAAGGAACTACCTACTTTTCATTGAAAAGTTTAATGTAGAATGATTTTGAATCTGACCACGAAACTAAGATAAAAATATGTCAGATGCAATGTCAAACTAAATTCAAGTTTCCAACAGTAGTGTCTAGTTTGCACTTAACCTAAGAGAATTTGTTATTCAAGTTTTCCTTTAATGCCATTTAAATATATCACGAAGGAACTATTAATAAGACAGTCTTTAAATATTTAATATGTTTTTCAGCATGTAGAAGCTTCTGAAGATAATTTATTGTATTTGAAAGCAAGAAAATTATTTGTTTTTAAAAAAATTTATTATTAAATTTGGTGATAGAGAAAACAGCTAGTGTTTACTGAGTTTTCATTAGATGAATGAAATTAAGTAATGAGGTAACTGTTATTAGAAACAGGAAATTTGGATGCTGGATAAAATGAGAGAATGGTACCTTACCTAACCCTACCAAGAGCTGGTAGCTTTGGCTGATTTTAAATATGATTTTAAGAGAAGATTAGTGAGAAAAGATATCCAACCTTAAAATCAGATCAAGGAAAAAGCAGCAACTGCATATAATAAATTTAAACTTAAACACTAAAACAGATTAAATATAATAATTAAATTAACCATATTTTATATAAAAAATTTTAAAAAGTAATATAAACATGTTAATTCATTATTAAATATTAATTTTTAATTTGTTTTTCTACATTTTTTAAATTGTATTGGTATTTTGTTGTAAAGATTTCATTAAATAAGTAGAATTTTTTCTTCTATTAATAAATTAGATCATAATTTTCTGAAAGGTTTATAATAAATCATGTATAGGCATTTTAGAATTCTGTTGCTAGAAAGTTAGAAAAACAATGCAAATGTCATGAATCAGGTAATTTCTGGCAATTCTATTTTCATATTATTCTGCATATAAAATAACATTTTGATGCAGTATTAAACTAAATTATCTCAAAGGCATTTTACACATTAAAAAGAAGGAGTTTAATTTAAATGCTCTTTCCAGCAGATTTTCATTTAAACTGATATCATTATTGAGCAGGATAGTCAAAAATATGTTTGTAGATGTTTTTAGTATGTGATCTGCTTGTGATGATTGAAGAAATAGAGTAATTTATTATTATTTATTCTTTCCTAAGAACTGTATTAATTTAATTACTTATTGTTATATTTAATTTAGAAGCTTTTTATTCTGCTTAAATTATCTAAAATACTGTATTTATTTCTAGGGACTGACATTGTTTAGTCTACAAAAACAATGGAAATGTTTTCATACTTCACCCTTGGCAGCTGCTGCCGCAAAGGTAAAATGTCTTGTACACATTAATATAAAATATAAAATTTATTAACTTAATAATTTGTTTATTAGGTTGCAATGAGCAAGTTTGATAGTAATCATTACATCCCTTATGAGAAGCTTAATAATAATCTTAAAATTGTTAAAAGCAGGTGAGTGTTTTACTTAAAATGAACTGAAATAAATAAAAATTAATGAATTAAATATACTAAAATTAACAATCTATTTTTGTATATATATATATATATGTAGCAAAAATTAACTTCTTATGTACAGAAATTCCTTGGATAAAATTTGAATTATATTTTTCTTTATAAAATACTTCTATAGTTAAGGAGTTTGGTTTTTGCTATTTTCAGTAATGAAATTTTTAATCATACAACATGAAAATTTTTTAAAATAATTAATTTAAATATTGGAATAAATTTGGGCTACTTTATTGTGTCAACAAATGGAATAATTTGCTAATATTAAGACATGCTGCCATCTATTAACTGTTTGGTAATATAACTTATTTTAGCCAAGTATTACATTAAAATTTGGTTTGTTTAATGATTTTGTGTTTGTTATATCATAAAAAGCATAACATTTGTAATGTCTAAATTTTATTTTTTGATTTTTATCAAAGAAATACATGGTTAAAACATCATTTAAAATATGTAAATTTTAAATGATTCATTATCATTAAAATATCCTTTGCTTTATACATAATGAATTCCTATAAGTTATTTATCTAAAATAAACAAATTCTAAATTATTTCTTAAATAATTTAGTACATATTTTCATAATTTTATGTATAGTTAAAATAGAAATTTTATTAACACTTAAGGTGGTGCAAATTAAGATGACATTGAGTCAATGACAGTCTGAACTAATCATTTCTGTCATTTTTCAAAATAAAAAATGATTGGTTGGATCAGTTATCTACTTTTACTATTGACTTAATTTTATTATCCATGTACACGTCTTTTCAAATTTATCTTATCACCTACTGTTAGCAACTTGAATGATAATTTTTAATTAAATTCATTTTAAAATGTTCAGAAAGATATTATATGCTATACATATTGTTTGAATGATGTAATTGATAAATATGTTTGAATAGCAAAACTTTAATTAACAAGAATTATTTAAAAAATTCCATAGAAACAAGAATTTAAAACAAATTATTGGTTAGCATTTTTTTCAAGTTGTTATTTTTCACATATAGTAGTGCTTTGTACTTCAAATTTAATTCATTTTAGCAGGCCATTCAAAGTCCGATTTGTTTAAAGTCAGAAAATCAATTTTTTCCATTAGAAATAATGGAAAGCAAATTAACCTATTCCAAGACTTTAATTTAAACAATATCCATTTTGATAAACTTAAATTAAAACAGCAAATATACATAATTTAAAATAAAAATAACACAAATGCTCTAATAAATTAAAACTAGAAAGCAATAAGTAAAATATGTAAACACTGTATAATAAAATGCAAATTCATTTAATGATCATACGCTGTCAACTTTGGCATTTTAAACATGATCAGCAGATCTATACACACATACACCATATTACTTTGATATTTGACGATAAGTTCCTTTGTCATCTCAACCTTCCTCTTAGATTTTGTTGCTTCCACACACTTCTCAGATGCCTTGGTTAATAAATGAAGGTTGCATTGGGTTGAATGGAAAATTTTTGCATGTTTTTAGCAGCTATGGTTACTTAACAGATGTATAATTTAATTATGATGGTTCTGAAATTTAACACATTATTGCTAATATGATATTGTATTTTTTGTTTATAAGCTTATTTTGAACTTTTTACTTCACATTTTGTTTTAATAAAATTAAATGGAAATGTCTTCAGACAAAAAGAAAGAACATCAAGCATATTATGCTTTAACAGTTTTGGAAAGGATGTAAAGCTGTACAAACAGTAAAAGAAAATTTTGTAAATGTATAAAAAATATGCTCCTAAACTTTAAACATGTCAAATGTGGTTTGAAAAGTTCTGTTTGGGAAATTTTGAAATAAAGGTGTCCAAATACAAAACACATACAAAACATATAGGGTGTCCAAAAGCAGTTGATGAATGATATATGCAGTAAGAAATTGTTAAAAATTGATGAATAACTCAAATGCTATAGTCTATTTTCTAGTGTATTGAGGTAATTGTTGTAATGTACTTAATAATGACAAACTATAATTAGACAAATTCAATCATATCAGTTATCAGATATTTTCAAAAATATTTAATAGGAAGTTTAGAGAATTTATTACTGAATATTTTTGGAATTATTTTTTATAATTACATGAAGTAGTTTTAATTATGTATTTTTAATTTATAAAATGTACAAATATTTCTCAATATGAAAGTAAATAATTTATCTAATAATTAAACTTCTTCATGTTTCTTGAAAGTGAAGTTTTGTATTTTCATTTATTGTCAATCTTAATATTACTATGTATTTTAGTAACAAACTAGCTAACTAATTCAACTAATCAAAAAGCAAATGTTATTTTCTATAGTTCATTAGAATATTTTTCTAAAAGTACTCTGGGATTTTCCCAAAATATAATAGAATAAAAACATTTAAGAGATGAGAATAAAAACAATTTAAGAGATGAATACAGTAATACCCCGAACTTACGCGATAGGTGGGATTGAGCGGTAACCGCGTAAGTCGAATTCGCGTAAGTCGGGGTATAATTTCTCATATAAATACATGCAAATAATTTTTAATTGGGGCCGGAGACTAAAGAAAACAATAATTTAGAAAAAAATGTTTAATAAAATCTTAGATAATACATATGTATAACAAATTAGACCTATATTATTTTACAATTTTTCACATTGATTATTACGCCATAATTTTAACATTGTTTCCATCTCAGCGATAATACTGTGACGTTTACGAATGATGCTTGAATTTAAAGATTAAGCATTTTTCACAGCTTCGAGAATTTTTTCTTTGCCTTTTATAATTGTTCTGACCAACAATTCCAGTAGATCAAACTTCTTTGCCAATTCACAAATTTTCATTTTTGTATCGAAGTTTTTAATAATGGGTACGTTCAACGAGTACGTTCAAGTCAAACGAGTTAAACGCGTTAGTAACGAATCGTTCGAAAAGTCTAACGAAACAGCAATAACGAAGACTTCATTCTCGCTTAACTCGTTCGACTTTACGAACATACCCAATGTTAACATTACATTCCAAAGATAAAGTTTTTATTTTCTTGTTTGATGCAGAAGAATTAGTTCTACTTTGTTTGGATGACATAGTAGAGTCTCTCGAGTCGCCGTAGATATAACAAACACAGAAATAAATAACACAAAATAAATTGTAGCTATGTGTGGATTTTGCGCGACACATCCGAACATGTAAGCTGAACAATAGTGTGGGGGAGTGAGTAATTAAGGGTTGCATAGCGCTCAACAAAAGACGAATCGACGAGATTTGAAAATCGCGTAACTCCGGGTTCTCGTAAGTCGGGGTATTACTGTATTTTATATTTCATTAAAATTGTTTTTCCATAAGTAATAAATAATAACTTTTTAATAATTAACATTTCCTATTTCATTTTTTATTTTTTAGAGAGACTCAAAACAAGAATTTTGATAACAAAAATAATGTCACTTATAAATGCATTTGAAATAATTTGAGATTTACTTAGAATATATTTTTTTTAATATGAAACTTTGTTATTTAAACATTTTAAATGTTTTATATTTTCAAGATATTTTTAACGTTAGTTGAGTTCTGTCTGCAGATTAAATGTTAATAATTAAACAGTTAGATTTATCTATGCTTTAAATTTTTGATTGTTCTAAGTTTTATCTCCTTAGATTAATGTGAGATCTGAATAGTCCCTGGGTCTAATTAACAACTTAAATATATAGTTAAAATAATGAAGTAAAATATTCTTTCATTTTGATGTGAAAATATCGTTTTTCTAATGTGGGAAAACTGATAAAAGAGCCACTTCCTTTAACGGAAGTTGAAGAATCCTTTGTTTTTCCACTTATCTAACACAAATCTCACCACCATGGGAATTGTCGACCCCTCAATAATTCCCCTTTCCTCCAGTCATGTGCGAGAATACAAATATGCTGATTGGTCACAAAACAGGAGATATAGTCAAAGATCGGCATGATTCGAGGAGTACGTCGGGGAATCTCCTATTGGAAAGAAGTTCCCATATTGTCTCCCTAAAGCCAACGTCCTTAGTTAGGAGTACGTCAGAAGATCTCATAGAGGAGAGACGTCTCCCATATATTGTCTCCATAAGGACAACACCCATAGTCGTATCCAGACAAGTATAATAATGAGTTAATTTAGGAGAATAGAAGAAAATTTATTATCTTGTGCCAAATCAAGACCTTCCATGAAATGAAGTATGATCATAGAATACAGATGAACATAAAGACCCGGTAAACCTTGAGGTAGTATGAATATAAATGAATTTGTGAGCTCTCTCTCTCTCAACGCGTATATTTTAATTGAATCCATATTCTCTCTCAATCGCTCGTTTGAATTATTGGATTTTGTATACCTTTGTTTATGCTAGTTTATTAAATTCTTTTATTTATATGTTTAAGAAATGTCTCTTAGTTGTTATCCGAATCAAATCCGTATTATCTCCAAACGTGTGTTAATCTGCGTGTTATAAAACTGATTAACTGGTGTCAACATCCTGACATAGATCCGAATCTCACGATTCAGATCTGTTACTAAAGCCCTCCTGGTCAATTCTTGACATAAGATCGTATCTCTCGATCCGAAACTCCAAGAACTATTCTAGAGAATAGCGCCGATTAAGTGGTACTAACAATCCTAGTGGAAAGGTACCCCCGGCTAATCTCACATTAAGTATGTGGAGACAATACAATGCTTACAAGAAGCACAGGAGCTAGCTGAAATTAAGATTGATAAATCTTAAAACAAGCTTTATCATCTCATATATTATTTAAATTTTTTTCGGAGTTACTTCACTTACACAATTTAAATTGAAAAATAGAGCACTCAAAAACTTTTTAGAATCAGAAAAATGACAACTTTTCAAAACAATTTTTATTGAATTTTTAATTGTATTCTCTGTGAGCTTCCACACACTTTTTTTCATGAGAAAGAAAGATTCCAGTTTTTATGAGATAGTCTGAATAGTATTGGTAAAAGAAGTTAGTTTCTTCATTTGATGAAATGCACTTCCTCTAAAGTATTTCTTTTACAAATAGAAATAAAAAGTCATAGGATACCAAGTTTGAAATAAGGGGAATGAGACAATATTTTAACTCCTATACATAGATAAAGTTAGCAATCCAAAGAACATTATTGTAATGCCATAATGCCCGATATGGCATCACAATAATGGCAACTTTGGTCAACTTTGGAAACCTAACCTGTTTGTAAGTAGAGGAGCACCTGTATTTAAATTGTAAATGAATGCTTTTGGAATTCTTCTTACTATTATTTGATATGTTATGTTATCCTTTGATATATTTTTTCCCCTTTCTTTATATTTGCTAGATTATTGCAATAATAATTAACTTATCATTCTGTTAATTTCTGAAATGTCATCAGTTCTTTGTTATCTGAAGGAAGCAAGTATTAATTTCTATATAAATATACATAATGGTGCTACAATAAGGAGGTTTGGTAACTTTTAAATGTATGCTAAATTCTTACAAGCATGTATATTATGTAATGTAGTGGTTTCCAAACTTTCTGTACTTCTACTCCTCTTTTTCAGAAAAAAATTGTTGCTCCTTCCTCAATTTTCGTGACAATCTAATTTCATAAATACTGTCCTTATAATTTATTTAATGTCCTACAAAACAATATACCTTATTAATTAAAGTATATTGTTCACTGGCTTGTTGAGATATTTTGACAAGAGCATGGATGGATTTTTAGAATTCATACCTGAGTCATTCTGATGAGGGTTGTGAATTAGGCATAACCATTTTGCCGATTATTTTTATTTAATTTTTTTTTACGTTGATTTGACTTTTTTAAATTAGACACATTGTTCTTTAAATTTCAGATTGAAACGTCCTCTTACTTTATCAGAAAAAGTAGTTTATTCACATCTCGATCAACCAGATTCGCAAGAAATAGAGAGAGGAGTTAGTTATTTAAGATTGCGACCAGATAGAGTTGCAATGCAAGATGCCACTGCACAAGTAATGTTAACAAAATATTTTTAAACAAAAGTTTAAAGTTATTATATATAAATACATATTTCTTTTCAGATGGCTATGCTTCAGTTTATATCTAGTGGTCTTAAAAAGGTAAATACAGTTTTATATTTGTGTATATGTTGATATTATTGTTCTAAATTAAAATTTCAATGACATACTTTATAACAAGTTATTTTTCTATAACAAATTTATATTGTTGATTCTCAATAAAATAGACTAATATGGAGAAGTTATACAACTGAAAATGAAATAGTCAATTATAAAATGAACAAAATATGATGAGATGTAAATAATTCATTTTATGGTACTGTACAGGTATCGGCAACCTTTCAGTGGTGTTGTGCCGAACATAAGTTACAGTGTTATTCCAAGTGCCGACATGATTCTACCAAATTTATTATATAAGTTATCAAAATTAATCCGGTTATAACAGATTTCAAAAATATACAATTTTGAAGTTAAGTTGTTAATTGAATTATGTTCTTACATGTGAAGTGCTTACATAAGACATAGATGTGACATAGAATGTAATGGCATGCGCTGTAAGAGAAATATACAAATGAGAGATTTGTTTTTAGTGTACCTTTGCTGAACTATGACTTCCATTTAAATGTGTAATTAATTATTAAAATATAATTTTTACTACATTTCTATTCAGAGTGCCACTGAAAATCATCTCATATGCCACAGGTTGCTGATCCCAGTTATAGTAAATACAAGGAAAACACAATCACCTGATTGCAGAGACAACATTTAGAGACCGATGGCGGTTTACAAATCGGGTATAGACTGTTGTTCAGAAAAATTTCATTGCAGAGACGGCGTTTCTCGCCTGCCACAATGTAGACAGCGATTAGAAACAAGTTATTTTACCTATTTTCTAGACTCACTCGACAGCAGGTGTAGAGGCCTTTTCAATTCGAGTGGTAGCTTTGTTCATGGAAAAGTTTAGATAAAAATGGATATCGTTCCTTTGATAAATGTTGTAAACGGTATGAATTGACAAAATTATTCATTAATTAATTGCTTGGAGCAAAACAACAAAATTAAATACAGTGGTGCCTCATATAACGTACTTAATCCGTTCCAGGTGCACGTCCGTTAAGTGAATAGTCCGTTATAGGAAATGCATTTTTTCATAGAAATACATGTTAAAACATATAATTCGTTCCGCAGCATAAAATAACCGTACTGTACCATAAAAAAATGAAAATGGAGCAGTCACCAATTATGCCGGGTAGTCAGATGTTGTGAGGAGGAGGTGGAGGAACACTTTCTTCACACATTCATACAGATACAGACTTTTTACACATTGCAGCAGGTCTTTTTTTATTGTTTTTTAATCGGATTCAGATTCAGGAGAGGCTTGCGGGGTCAACTCCTCTTGTTCCATCCTTTGTTTTTTCCCTGCTGGCTTCTTGAAAAGCATGTCCACTGTGGTCTGTTTCTCTCTCTTCTTCAACACCTGTTGGAAATGATGGGCAAGAGTGTCATTGTAGAGATCATTGATCCTGTTGGCCTCAGCTCTGTTTGAATACTGAGTGTTGGTAAACTCCTGAACCTCTCCCCATTCGACAAGGAAGTTTTTGTCAACTTTCACTCCTTCTGATGATTTCTTGCATTGTTTCAATTGAAATCACTTTTTTGTTTTTTTATAAGCCATGATTTGCACAACACTTGAATAAATGTAAATATCCTTCACTGTGTTGATGTAACTAATAAACAAGGGAGCAAGCATAATCCCAACGCTCTGTACTTCAGATATACTGATAATATATTCTAATAATACTAATATATTATAAAAATAACATATTGTCATTGGCAATGGCAAAAGAGTGGAAACATCATTCGCACTTGTTCGTAGAAAGTCCATTGGTCGCCTCACGTAACTGCCGAACGGAAAGTCCATTGTCCACAACCAGTCCGTTGCTCGAGTCATGTAATGGCCAAACAGAAAGACCGTTATTCGCAGCGTACGTTATACGAGGCACCACTGTACTTTAAATTTGTTTTAAATGTTCCAATTTTGATATTCAAATGGGTGAAGACTTAAAACTTCAATTAATTTAAATCAGATGCTTTTATTTACAATTAGAGTATCGTGTCGGTTATAAAACATTAATGCATTTCGGAGTCATTGTACTGTTAAACAAACGAGGCAATTTTAATAATTACAGAAATCTGTTTATAGATATAAAAAAAAAATGTAATATTAATAATAAAATATTTAAAATTATTCATTTCAACAGTAATAAGATGTCAAAGTAATTCCTTAAAAATCTATTCCAAAGAGGAATTTCGAATTTGGTATAAATTTTCTAAATATTGATTTGTTCATATTTTAAACCGTATTGGCAATGAAATTAAATATCGGAATGGAAAAGGATTGTCATTAATTGCCGAACAATGGGTTAAGGCCATCAAAACCTTAACTTTGTTAAGGTTTTGACGGCCTTAAGGTTTTATTTCTGGAATCTTTCGGAATATAGCTGGCGAGCATTTCTGACGTCACAAACAAATAACCCAATTGGCCAAACGACTCCTAAAACAGGGGAGTAATAGCGAAGTAAGTAAGAGCCAATGTTTTGCTGAAGTTCGTTTAGAGAACGATCAGAAATAGACAATTGTCATCTTTGCAACGCATTTTAAACCACGGTTCAGCCAGCCAACATCTATAGGCCATTCTGTTGATAAACATCGTTTTAACATAAACTCTGTCTCTGCAATTGGCTGAATATTTTGCCAAGCTGGGACATAAACAATATTTTGCCACTATGTTGCTTAATGGACATTTCATACATTAACAGTTGCAATTTGATAGGACTCAAATATTAATTTCCACTCTGACAGATACCTTGATCCATTATTTCAAAATCTGTTATATTGATCTTCATAAAATCAAGGGTCTTCGGTATTTATAACAAATATTTTATAAATTTAAATATTGTTAATCATCATTGCTAACATTTAATTTTTTAAAATTTGTTTTTGACATATCTTAAGTGATTAAAAAATATACAGATTTTAATCTAAACAAATTTTAATATTTGGATTTTTTTCTCATTTTAGCTGTGTTTAAAGGAATATGTTACTTTTATATATGTGAGATATTTTACCAAGTTGAAATTTGGTTATGATTGTTGTTATGATTTTTTTTTTTGGAAAGAGTATGAACATTAAATGAAGTAGTTAGAGGAATCAACTTTCCTCTTTTCAAGAACAGTCAATTTAGTGAATCTTAGTGTTTATATTGCAAATTTTCATCATCCATTTTCATATGAAGTTTCTCTACTCAGAATTTCTTTGAACAAAGCAGTAAGTGTTTCTTCCTTTGTCCTTGGACTTTGTCAGCTGTTCCCACTGATTGTTGAATTTACTTCCTTCCCAACATGCATGGGGATTTCAGTTCTTAGAAAGAATTAGAATTTCATTAAGCAATCAGGACTTCAATTCTGCTCTAGATATTGAAACACATCTTTTGTTTGAGGACTCAGTTACTGCTCTGTTATCATTGTCACTATCTTTTGCTTTCTCCAATTTTTTCAATTTTATTCGAAAATCTTCCTCTGTACACATCTCTCACTCTTTGGTGGTCAGTCAATTCGTATCACTATTTGAATTTTAAACTGTCACCAGAGGTTTAAGGAGTAATCCAGGATTTCAAAATTTTTATCAGGTAGGATCTGATAAATTAGCATTTCATACATTAACAGTTGTAATTTGATAAAATTGCAACTGTTAATGTATGAAATATCCATTAAGCAACATATTGGCAGTTAGGAAACATAACATTACACCTGATTTTACAGAAAAGAATAAAAATCCAAGAAGTATAAGTGCAAATAATTGCAGTCATTTGCATTTATTCTTTTTTCATAATTTATTATTATTTATGTTATGAACATTAATTATAAATTTAAAAAGAATAGATTGCACAACAATTATCTGTCTTTGTTCAAATACAAAAATTTAAAGATTTCAAATTATTTTTATTTTGCAAAATGTTGAATGAAAAATTAAAATAATCATCTGTACTTTCTCTTTTAGGTAGCAGTTCCTTCAACAATTCATTGTGATCATCTTATAGAAGCTCAGGTTGGAGGTGAGAAAGATTTAGCTAGAGCTAAGGTAATTAAAATTTTTATTGTATTTTCAGTAGTAGTAAATAACAGATTTATACTACTATTCTGAACAATCTCAAGCCTTCTTAGAAAGTTGATTTCAATAGAAATACATTCTGGAGTCTAAACAACAGGATTAGTGTGTTGATAAAGACAGAAAACTGTTATCTTGTCTCAATATATAGAAATTTATAAATAAGAATTTTGAAGCATAGGAAGAAAGTATGTAAAAAAAAAGTTGTTGACTAGTCTTAAAATTATAACAAGAATGTAAAAAATAATGTGCAAGCTGGTAACATAGTTGCATAGAGAAAATGTAAGTACAAGCTTGAAGATTACAGAGCAACTAACTATATACAGTAAAACCTCTTCAAATGATTAGATTTTCTTAGAACAGAATTTTTATTCCATAGGATTTATTGTTTTTAATCCTTCTTAAGCTGACCATTCCTTCACTCATCCAATGACCACCCAGTCATATAATCTGTGTGAAATACCCTCTATGAGGTGATCACTTATATGATCTCAGATGTGATGATAAAATTGAAAACATGCTCATTGTTAGACATGTTGCACTATTACATTATGTGTAAAAGTTCATCTTAATCAACTTCAATATATCCATTTGCTCCTACTCAGCCTTATTTTTGTGAAAAATATACATAATTTTCTAATAATATTTTTAACAAGAAATTAACCTATGTTTTATGCTTATAATTTATTTATTCTTATTAAACTAAATAATATAGTAAAGCGAATGAATTTAATTTTTCCAGTAATATTGATAGTAGTAGATAAAATAGTAATTGATGAATGACAAATTTGGATCTATTTTGAACTGTTTTTGGGATTCATTTGATCAGAACAAGGAATCTGTTTGAATAAATAGGAAAGAAATACGAAGGCATTATCTTATCAAAAGAAGTTAAAGCAGAGAAAGCAAGTGTTAATTTCAGATTACTTTAAATCAAACATGAACTACATTTCTATGTACTGTACACTGTAGACAATTACACATGATGTATTAATAAATATGTAATATAGTATTAATTAATATATAGCTTATTTTAAATACACAACATGTTAACATCACATGGCAAACAGACTAATGTTTAATTAATGAAAAATACAAAACAGATATACAGTAGTGCATTCAAGTAATAAAGAAAAATTCATTGAAAAGCCATGACAAGCAAGCACCACAGGGTGACTGTAAATCATTCTAATCATGCACTATGTGATTTGAAAATGCCTTTAAATTTTAATTTGTTAATTTATATTTAAATTTAATTCTTTAAATTCATTTATTAATTTTAAATTCAACTTTAAATTTTAAAAGTGGAAAGATGTTAATATACTAACATGCTCTGTTGATTTGAATAAACAGTAGGCGGCACAGTCAAGTTTAAATTAATGAGAGAATTTTATATTGATTTAAATGGAATCAGCCAGGGACTAGCATGCAGTTTGAATTAATGAGACCCTACTGTAATTTTTACCATGTTGCCAATGCAGTCATCTATGTAGTATTACACTAGAATACTGTATAAACTAAATTTCAGTTTATAATTTTGTGATCCACATTTTCCTTGTGTATAAATAGTTAAATGACTCTGTAATTCTTAATCTTTCTCTTTCATTTTCTCAATGAGCATTACTGTCTCTTTTCACATAATTTTATATTTTATATGATTTTCTTGAACAGATTTGTTAACAACTTTACTTAAAAAACATTCTTCCTATACTCCAGTATTTTAATATCTTAATTTGTAAGAAAGAAAAAGGATATTGCATTTTTTATTCTATTCATATTCAAACTATCTTTTTTATTATTTAACATATATTAATTCTTTTGCATAAATTATGGAACATTTCTAATCATATTATTTTTCAAAACCCTATTCTTCTTCCAAACTTCTTTGTACTTCATTTTAATATTTGGTTTTTTTCTATATTATCCCTCATTATTTATGCACTCAGATTCACTATGAGTCTTTTTTTTTTCTTTAAATCTGTTTGAAGTGTGGATTTATTTTTTCAAAATTTGTTTTTGTGTGTGTTGGTGTGACTGACTGCAGGAGTTGTTAAATGAAAAATAAAAAAATAATTCTAAAAAGTAACACAAATGAGAAGAAATGTGATGCAATAATTTATAATATCACAATTTTGAATAGGTGGTTACAGCAATCTGTAGCTTAGAAAATGTGATTCAAATAAACCAATGTGGATTTATTTGAGCCTGTAAAAGGTAATTTAAATCTGTGGGTCTAATTGAATACTTATGATATCTTTACTTTTCTAGTGTCTTTCATATTCGTAATAAGTCTTGTTCTACCATCTTGAACCACACTTCTTTTACACTTTCTTTTGTTCTCATACTTTGATATCAACAATTCTTCCTGATATTGCCATTCTATGAAAATCTAGAAGTTTTCCCTATGTCAAGACTCTTGACATCATCTGTTGTTTTTTGGGAGATACAGGAAGATACATCATTTTATGTTTTTCATGTTTTCTTGCATATGAGCTGCACTATATGTGGGAGTTGTGGATAAAGGATGGAGGAGGGAAATAAGAGAGATGGGGAATTTGGAAGCATTGCACTCAACTGCTGAATTAACAAAACAATAATTAGATTTATTTACTGGACTATATAGAATTATAATTACACATAACAAGATGATAAAAATACATCTGGCTTTGGCTTTTTCTTAAGACTGATCTATCTTACAAACTAATCTATTTCCACCTAACCACGAGAGAGAGAGAGAGATTACATTTGTTTGTGGGCTGATAAATGCCTTGATGATTGGTGAATTGATGTCTTCAAGATCTTAAGTTCTGTTTTCAATTACAATAATCATTTGACGATGGATGAGGATTCAAACAGAGACGGCATCTGGATTGTTTGGGATCAAGTGAATTGGAACTGGGTGGCTGAATTGGTTTGAAGTTTGAGGGACTAACTGAACTGGACTGAGGGATGACTGCCAAACTGGACAACCTTTTTGACCTTTTCTTGGCTCTTTTATAAGATTTGGTCTGCTTCCTGAATCAAGGTGTCTCCATAAAAGACAATATCAGATGGAAACTTCTTTTGTTAATATAACCTAAATTTTCTCTTTCTTTCCAGAAGTGAGTTGTTCTCCAGGGAAGTGTTGTCATTGACAAATGTCATTACATCCTCATTGCTTTTTTTCCAACAATTTCACTTTGGTTAACATTTATTTAATAAATTATTTTTTTTAAATTTAAAACAACTTTTTTCAAAATTATAGCCCAGGATCTCACAATTCTATTGAATTTTTTCCTCAGAAAATTAATTTTGTTTAATCAATCTTGTTGACAAAAAATACAAGATCTTAATATCAAAATATTGATATTAATTGTTACTAATTTGCACATGATGAGTTATTTTGACTTTGAGTATAGAAATGATTCTCTCTTTTTTCTTTTCTTTACAATCTCTTTAAACACTAATAATATTTAAATAACTTTTCCATTAACCTCCAATTTAAGTCTGCAATTTCTGTTAATATTCCAAGAAACACTTCCATGGGATTTTTTTCTTACATTGTCAGGTAATCATCTATATATAATAAAAACAATAGACAAATTTTGTGCTTCTTGAAGATGGTTTGAGGTTATACTGAGTTTTTGTTGTGTATTTTTATATAAAATCAATAAAATTACACAAAAATTTTATAATAAATACATAAATTTAATATAAATATGCTAATCTTTAGTAAGTTGATTATAAGCCTAATTATGATATTACATACTTATGTTTTTAAATATATTTTACTCAATCTCTCGAAAATACAAATTAACTTTTAATAAAAGGAAAATAATTATGATATATCTTAATGGTTAATTTCAGGATATTAACAAAGAAGTTTATAATTTTCTAAAAAGTGCTGGTGCTAAATATGGGGTTGGATTTTGGCATCCAGGAAGTGGTATTATACATCAGGTATATGTTTATTTCTTGATTATTATTTGCTATTAACTTATTCAATAAAATGTTGTTTGATCTAGTACTAAGATAATTTTTGAAATTATTAAAAATTATCTTTTACTAGCTCAAAGTAAAAATATTTGTAAATTTCATTTTATATAAATTGTTCACAATTAAAGTATTTCAACATTCATTTTTAAATTTGATTACAATATAATTATAGTTAAAAAATTGGTTTAAATATTTTTAATAAAATCTTTTAAAATTATCCACAATTAAAAGTAGCATTAAACAGTTATGAGAATACATTGCTGATATCATTTATTACTACAATATTGCTTAGGATATTATCAGTAAATTTAATCATGCACTTGTTCAATTTACTATTAACTGTGCAAAAAATAAGGTTGAATTTGACTTTTATTTTTTAAATCTAAACTTAGGTTTTTGTCATTCATTAGAATGTCTACAGGAAAACATTCTTAATTTTTTAAGAATGTTTTCCTATAACATTCTAAATGAATTAAACAAATTAAAAACATTCTTAATTTGTTTTTAATAGATTGTTTTATGCATTAACTTTGTGTTCATTTTAATCTACAGAAACAAGGTTTTAAAATAATTACACATAGAGTATAGTTATATTAAACAAGTTGCTTCAAAAAATATATTAACATTAATATGGAAGTAATTTGTTATATTGGATTTATAGTAGCAGGTTGCCATTCTGCATACTTCTCATCACCTGATTGTGGCATTCTCAAAAAGGTATGGTCCTACTACTACCTGCAATGGTGACCACATACCTTCTTTATACAAGTATTAACTTTTTTAACCACCTTGTATAAGTGATTTTTAAAGTTACGCTGCTATAATATGTCTAATTTTTTTTATATTTTAATTAAACTATTATATTGTTGAAGTACACTTTTCAGTTAATTCTTGCCCAGAATATATTTAAAAAATTGATATATTAACACAATCATAATTAAATTAAACCAAATTTCACACATTTCAGAAATTATTTAATTACAGTCTTACTCTGTATTTGTGAATTTATTAATTTATATTTTGTGTAGACAAAATAATAATCAAAATTTTGAATCTGTAATCTTATTTTATGATAATTTTATGTTAATATTGTAAGAGAAATGAAATTTAAATGTTTAAAAACCATATATGGTCATTTAACTGGTTTTGTGGCACTATTGTCTCATTTAATATTTTGTAAATGACCAAAATCAAATTGCAGTTATCAGGTGTGATTACTTGTGAGTACAGTGTAATCATGTATACTTCTGCATACAGAATTAATCTTTTAATTGTGTGATTTTTACATAGTTAATTTTTCTTTAGAATTAAAAAATGTCTGAAATATTTTGAAAAATCTTTTGAATAACAAATGTTGGAAATTAATAATAAATATTTTAAATTTACATCAATAACTGTTAATTTTTATACAGGGTGTCTATAAATGAATGGTGCAGTTTTAAAAATTAATAATAAATCTATATATTACCTTATATGGGCAAACCTTAAAGCATAAGCAGCAGCAACTGTTCAAGTTCACAGGAATATACGCAAGCTTCTTAATCATGTTCTTCACCAATGCTGGATTGGATGTGGTGCAACAGCAGACAACAACCTGCTTCCCTGGCCACTTAAAGAAATCACAGGGTGTTAAATCTGTTAGCCAGATTTAACACCCTGTGATTTCTTTTTGTGGGGGGTTTGTTAAAGTATACCTGTACTGTACCATCAATGCCCGTGTTCCTTGAGGAACTATGTGATCGGATAAAGCATGCACTGCAGATCATCACAGAGGACATGCTACACTTCTTATGGGAAGAATTTGATTACCATGTAGATGTGTGTTGTGTGACCATTGATGCACACATTGAAGGATTGTGATTAATGCATAAAAAACTTGGACAGTTGCCACTGCTTATACTGTAAGATTTGCCCATATAAATAAATAAATAGATTTATTATTAATTTTTAAAACTGCACCATTCATTTATAAACACCCTGTATAACCTACAGCAGTATGTAGCCCATATTGAAGTATACTTCACAAAAAAGTTGCTAGAATGAAAATAAACACTTTATTTAATATTTCCATATAATCACTCTAATAAAGGAACTTGATGGAAAATTTGCCATGTGTCTTTGGGGTAAGGCACAGTGCTAGTGTTTATTATGCCACAAATTTCCATATAATTTATTTCAGATTCATTATATATTTGTTAAAATAATTATACAGTTTATAAATAGTCATTGCATCTGCTTTATAAAAATATTCATATAACTCACTCTGAAGCATTTTTAACATCATTAATCTATAAAACTGTGTAAAGTCATTTCCCAATCTGTAAGAACAGAAAATTAAAATTAGCAAATTAAAATTAAATAAAATATAAAAATTAGCAAAATCATTTTCAAAATTACAAAGATAACCTTTAAGCCAAATAAAAGTATATGTATATATATAAATTAGATTTATTTATTTGCATAAAGTGTCTCTTGACATCAAAATTTGAAAGTGGTTACCAATATAGAAAAACACTAAATTAATCTTCTACCAATCATGAACTTTAGCTTTATTCTTACTTTTGACACTCCTTAACACTCCTATATCGAAAAGAGTGTAAGGCATCTCTGATAGCCTTTCATGGTCAAGGTGATCCAAAGCCATGAGCGTACAAGGTCCCAATCCAATTTTTGATGTGTCCAGCCACTTCTGTTTTGAATATTTTAACCAGACAAAAAACATTTTGTACTAATTTGAGGTGCTATGCAGCGTTATAAATTAAATTGTGTCAAATCCTATCTTGATTTCTATAAAAGATAATGATCTTTTATAGGAATTGAGATAGAAATTGGCCTCATAAAAAGGAGTTTGGGAGCCATTGAGCACACTACTGATTACCTCTTGTATGCTTGTATTTAGCTAACATGTAGCAGACGCAAGATGTAGCAAGATGCAATGTTTTTTGTCTATATCTTATTTTTATTTTATCAATGTTGATATATAATTTTTATTTATTACACTTCTATAACTTATAAAATTTTATACCTTCTAAAAAAACAGCAGAGAAATGAAAATTTTTCTGAGTAATAATTGCAGATATTAATATCAAGCAAACTTTAATATAATTTATGTTAATAGTATAAGTATTAATGGAAGACCACCTATAAAATAAGTGTTTTCTGCAGCTACACACTTCTTCCAACATTCATAATGCTTAAAGCAGTACTGGAAGCCATTTTTGTGATGTCTTTTAAGAACTTTTGTTGTTATAGCTTCCATGTTCAGCTTCAATTGATTATTCGTGGTTAACGAATATATGACAAAAATAGGATATAACAATGCTTCCTTGAACTCTCTATCTTGTTTTTGAAGATTTTTCTTTCATTTTAGGGAATAGATAAGTTGAATGATTTCAGGTTTTGATCAGCAATAGAGGTAGAAACTACAGTAAATACAGCTCATAAAGACATCACAAAAAATTGCTTTCAGAACTACTTTAGTATGAATGAAGGCAGAAGTTTATTTTGAAAATTGTGTAGTTTAAGAATAAGTGTTGTGTAATAAAACCTGTGCTAAAAGTTTGGTTTGGTTTTGACTCAAGTACGTAAACACACATTTTATTAGTTCATAATAAATTAAAATATGTATTGTATTTATTATCTGAAAATTTGCACTCAATGGAATTAATGTAGTGTTGCTAGATCTAATTTTTAAAACTTATAAAATTTTATTTTTGGTGTTTTTTAGGACAGTGAAATCTTGCTAAGTTGAATTGTGTTAGCTCAAAGCTATCTACAAATTGTGAGCTCAGTATATAGAATTTTTCATATAATACAGTCTCATTAAGTCAGAATTGTTGTTACTTTTAAGATGAATCTATTTTTTTCATATATCCTTCACTCTTTGATATGTCTGCAGTCTTCAATTTCTCTTATATTCTGTATGAATACAGATGATTAAGATAAACACTACAGCTTCATGCTGAATACACCACATCATTATAAACTTATGTCAACATCCTCCAGTAACATACTTTATATTACCAGTGTTCTGATTGGAACATAAGGAGACAACTTGACAATACACTTGAAAGCACCATAAACTGCATACAATTTTGTAATCATTCCATGAACAAATTTTTGAGAAACAGTTTGATAATGAGAAACTTACGTCCACAGAAAAATTACTTTTTCTCTTACAATATATCATTATTGTATTAAGAAACTGAAATGCAATCAAGAATTTAACAAATTTTAGTTCAAGAATTTAACAAATTTTTTAATAAATTATTACAAAATTTTACCATATTAAATAGCCAATATGTATAAAACACATGCTTAAAAGATTAAGAAAATTCTTGGTTATGAAAAACTTTAAGTAAATTTTTATGTATAAAATTTTATGTAAATTTAAGAATATTTAAAAAATAATATTTATACATAAATGTCTCTATATGTATATATCTAGATTATCTTGGAGAATTATGCATTTCCTGGTGTATTATTAATTGGAACGGATAGCCATACACCAAATGGAGGTTGGCATCAAAATTAACTATTGAATAGTAAAATAAGTTTTATAAAATATTTTACATTTTTAAGAAGTAAAATAAATAATCTGTTGTTATATGTATAAATAATTAAACAATCAAAAATGTGTTATTTAGGAGGTCTTGGTGGTGTTTGTATTGGTGTGGGTGGTGCAGATGCCGTAGATGTTATGGCAAATATTCCATGGGAATTAAAATGTCCAAAAGTTATTGGTGTTCGACTGACCGGAAAATTATCAGGCTGGGCGTCACCTAAAGGTTAAATTATACATACATTTTTTAAAATCAAAATTCTATATTATAGTGCATTAAATGATAATTTTTTTTAAAATCTAGATGTGATTTTGAAAGTAGCTGGAATTCTGACTGTTAAGGGAGGCACTGGAGCAATTGTCGAATATTTTGGTCCTGGTGTCGAATCTATTTCTTGTACAGGTAGATATGATTTTAATTTATGCCACATTCTTAGATTATTTAAGATTATTATTTCCATTTTTAGCCCATTAAGAACTAATGATGGATTAATTTCAATATTTATCAACTATGGTTTAAAATTATGTGAAAGTTTAATTCAAGGTAAAAAATTTATTCCAAATTAGAATCACTGAAATGATTAGTTTTTACTCTAATTCATATTTTAACATCTCAATTGCCTCAGCCACTATTGTAAATGATACTAAGATTCATAAGAACACATTCCAAAAAAAAAAAAATAATATTGAAAAAATATTTTTTATTTCAAAAATGTTAATTATTCAAAATTCTGTAGTGAGATACTAAAAAGTTCATATTTTAATACAGTGGGTGACCAGTTAACAAACAAATCAGATAACAAACACTTTTGCAAAATATTTTTAAGATCGGACAACAAACACTTCACTGAACAAACATAAAAAGAAGTGACAGAAAATAACAAATACCAATTGATTTTCCCTTGTCTTCAGGTAACAATTTGAAACCTTTCGGAGTGCAGCAGATGTCAGCATCGACACTCAACCCAATACCGATCAGATAGTGTTTCCCCTGAACTTTGATACTCTCCATTTTAATTCCAACTTTTTGTTTACTTTTCTGACAAATAATTTTTTATAGTCTTTGCGAGACTGTCGGGCACACCATAAGTTTTGCATCGGTTTTTATTTTCTAAAGGTGAGAGTTTAACTGTCATATCGGGTATTCATTAATGTTTTAACACCAAAATTTCGAATTACATTCAGGTCTCACATTTACATAATTCTTTCATGCACTAGTTGATTTCTGTTCTCTGAATTTTTGTAAGTGCTTTTTCTGAACTTTTTATTTCAAACAGAAATTGATAATATTATGGAGCATAAAAAGAGTGGAGTGTTAAGAACTGTGCTCACCATAGAAACCAAGCAAGAGATAATAGCCAAAGTAGAAAGTGGGCAGAAGATGTCTGATATTGCTAGACAGTGTGGCTTGAACAAATTACAGTAGGCACAATCTTAGCTAAGAAAGATATAATCAAGAAGACTCAAAGAGCAGATGTGATCAAAGACTCAAAGATGTGCCATCCATGAAAAAATGGAGAGATTGCTTTTAATTTGGATAAAAGAAAGGGAAATGAAAAATGATGTAACTAGTATGACTATCATTTAAGAGAAAGCTAGAGAAATTTTTGAAGAACTGAAGAAACAAACTCCACATTCATCACATGAGGAGATAGAATTCAAAGCTACTACTGAATGGTTTTCAAAGTTTAGAAGGAGAACTGGCATTAAACATGTGGTAATTCATGGTGAGTCTGCTAGTGCAGATAAAGAAGCAGAGGAGTTCTGTCTCAAATTTGACGAATTCATTAAAAAAGAAGGATATTGTCCACAACAAATTTTCAATTGTGATGAAACTGGTTTATTTTGGAAGCACATGTCGACCGTACCTACATTACGAAAGAAGAGAAAATATTCCTGGGCATAAACCCATGAAAGACCGATTGACGTTACTTTTGGGAGCTAATGCTAGTGGTGATATGAAGCTTATCCTGCTTCTTGTCTATCACTCTGAGAACCCTAGAGCATTCAAAATAAATTCCATAATTAAAGAAAAACTGCCAGTGATGTGGAGATCGAATAAAAGAGCACGGGTCATGCAGGCTCTTTTCAAAGAATGGCTGTTTGAAGTTTGTGCTCCAAGCATCAAGGATTACCTTCAGACTAATGAATTGCCATTAAAAGCACTGTTGCTATTGGACAATACACCAGGACACTCAAAAGACCTTGAAGATAATTTGCTGGAAGACTTTCCTTGGCTGACAGTTCAGTTTCTACCTCCAAATAACACTTCGTTGATTCAACCAATGGATCAAGAGGTTATTGCAGGTTTCAAGAAATTGTACATTCGAGCACTGTTTCGTTGGTATTTTGAAGCATGCCAATTCTCCTCAATGATGACATTAAAAACGTTTTGGAAAGAAAAATTTGATATTCTTGAAGCTATATGGCTCATTCAAAAGACATGGTCAGAAGTCACTAAACAACAGTTGAATTCTGCTTGGCGAAAGCTGTGTCCCTCCTGCATTCAGGGAGAGAGAGGTGATGTCCCTGAAATTACGGATGAAAATGTGACAACTGATAGAGATTTGTAATTGGAAGTGACTAAAGATGACATTGAAGAGCTCATAGTGGAATCTGAAACTGATCTGACGACAGAAGAACTCCAAGAACACTTAAATGATCACCAAGAAATTCAGTGATATGGGTTTTCTTCTGAAAAAGAGGAAGATGAAAAATGATCAATGCCAACATCTGCTATTAAAGTTCTTTTGAAGAAATGGGAGGATGTTAGAACAATGATCTTAGAATGGCATCCAAACCAAGTTGAGGTTAATAGACTTGGGGATCTCTATGACGACAATGCTATAAATTACTTCTGAAAAATCCTGAAGAAAAGAGAAAAGCAATCAACATTAGACAGATTCTTTAATCCCTACAAACGGACAAAAGACTAATAAAAATGCAAGACTGTGTATATATGTATTTTTATTATTATACTAGCAGATAAGCTCGGCATTGCTTGGGCAAAAAGTAACGATAGTGAAGATTAAGAATATTAAGATTAAGATTTCATTGTTGAAGCCTTAATCCTGTCACTTTCCCCGTGGGGGGATTTAAAAAAATCCCTTGTTAGTGTGCGTTCTCATGACGTACCCTAAAGCCGGATGCACACGTGGTATGGCAAGGAAAAGCAGCAGGATGACGTCAATTTTGTGCTGCTTTTCTCATGCCGCAAAAGTTGGTTGAATTTTATCTTTTGCGGCAACTGCTGCCAAGACACGTTTCTATCAGCCAATAACAGTTCATCTGATAGTCACGTGAGAAAACACAATCACGTGGTGTTTTAATGGCGGAAAGTTCGACACGGTTAACCGAGATAACTAACATCAGAATAAAGAGGAAAGGATAGTAAATTTGACACAAAATCTACACAAATAATCATATATAATTTAATTTATTTCAAAGAACAAAACAACCGAATCTTACTCGAAATAGTATTCTTTATCGAGGAATAAGCATATTTTGTACACCAGTTCTTTATCAATCCAAGAAAATATCTCTAATCCAAAATCTTCGTTCGAATCTTCGACAAAATCTTCTAAACAAATAAAGCAAGCCGTACAAAATAAAATTTGTAAACACATGGATATCGATATCGTTCGCCATCTTGAATATTGAATGCATGAGCCGAAATGTAAGCGGATTGCCACCGTGTGGCTAAGATGTGTTTGCGACACTGCTTTGCCTTGCCGTGCCACATGTGTGCATCTGGCTTAACTGTGTACCAAATTCCAAGTTTCAACTCCTAACTGTGCTGAAACGCTTACAATGAAATGCTCGTATACATGTGTGCCATCTATCGTAGGATAAATGTACTATGCCAGAAACCTTTGCGGGAGTATATTAAACAACTTCCTAAAGTTTCACAGCAATCAGATAAATGGTGTAGTAATGCATGAAGGACAGGCAGGCAGACATACATTCATTTTTATATATTACTAGCTTACCCGCCACGCATTGCTGCGATCTCAGAAGAAAGGAAATTCAAGCAAACTCATTATGATAAAATTCAATTTACATTTTATCATTTTTATTGAAACTTATTATTATTATTTATTTTCATCAGGAAAACATTTCAAAGTGTCGTTTCAATTCTATTTATTTATATGAGTGCTTGTGGATACACAATATTTTTTGTTTTTCCGTCTGGTGCGTACATGAATAAATCAGAAGGTTTTTGGATGTGTGAGCTGGCCACTACAGTTGTCCATGTGAGAAGCACGGATTCTCCAAATTTAGCTCACACACTTGCTGCGATTGTCAGAAGTGCGATATTCCCCATTTTTATATATATTTTTCAATTTTTTATAATTTTAGCTATTTAATTGCTCCTTCCTCTCTTCCTTGGCATGTTGTGAAATTTCTGATAGCTGGATAATAAACTGTTTTATTGTAATTTTGTCTTTTTAAATTATTTTGAGTTGATAGTAAAATTTGGAAAAGGGGATCTGTAGATCAGTAAAAGAGGTGAATTTCCTCCTACAACTTCGGTTGTTGTTCAGGGTACAGTTAAGGTTTTAACAAAGTTTGAGCGAATACGTAATTAGCAAAAAAAAAAGTTGAAATAAAGTGATTAAACAAAAATTATTACAAGTATTGTAAATAACAGTTCACAAATGCATGTATAAAGATATTTTTTGGAGGGGGGAAAATGGTCTTCACAATTTGAAATTGATTGAACACACAGTAAAATGCTTGTATACACTCGTGCCATCTATCGTAGGATAAATGTACTATGCCAGAAACCTTTGCGGGAGTATATTAAAAAACTTCCTAAAGCTTCAGGGCAATCGGATAAACGGTGTGGTAATGCATGAAGGACAGACATACATTCATTTTTATATATATAGANAAAGATCTTTTGAAAAAGTGGGAGGATATCAGAACAACAGTCTTAGAATGGTATCAAAACCAAGTTGAGGTTAATAGGCTTGGGGATCTCTACAACGACAATGCTATTAATTACTTCCAAAAAATCCTGAAGAAGAGAGAAAAGCAATTGACATTGTGGGGCATTAAAGAATCTGTCCAAACAGAAAAAAAACATGACTGATAAAAATGCAAGACTGTGTATATATGTATTTTTATTATTACATATAAATAAATGTAGTAGGAAAGTGTATAATTTTTTATTTTTTGGCATCTCCAGAATGAATTAATCACATTCCCATAAAAACCTATGGTAAATCGATAATCAGACAACGAACAAAGTCTTGGAACGGATTATGTTCATTAACTGATTACCCACTGTATATGTGATTAGAATGTAAAAACTGATGTAGAAAACATTGAGAATCCATCAAATTATGAAATTTTTTAAGCTTAAAAAATTTTAAATATTAACTTGTAACACAATACATTAAAGATGATATTGAGATGATAATTTTTTAATTATTGTGTACAAAAATAAGACATTTATTGTATTACATATATAAATTTGTCAATCAAAAGTTCAAGTATGTTTAGTCAGTCTTTCACAGTTCATAGTAAAAGAGTTTTATTATATATAATTGAAATTTAAAACATTACTGTATATGAAATTTTTCCTAAATTTACATTTTAGGAATGGGAACAATTTGTAATATGGGTGCAGAAATAGGAGCAACAACTTCTATCTTTCCTTATAATGTAAGAATGAAAGATTATCTTAATGCCACAAATAGAAACGGTAAGAAATCTTTATTTTATTTTGTTTAAAAAATTCTTTGTTTTATTTATAATTTATTTTCAAATATTTAGAAATAGCAAATTTAGCTGATCAATATCAAGAACTCTTAACCCCAGATCAGAACTGTGAATATGATCAAGTAGTTGAGATTAATCTTAGTGAGGTAAATAATTTTTTTATGTATTACAAAATTACATTTTTAGTAATGTAATAGGATTGTATTTATGGACATATTCACAACCAAGGATCAAGAGTTAGATATTAAAGTTAACAAAGTACCATTTTACTTTCAGCAGGTGAATGCTTATTGGTTAAATAAAAAGCACACACTACAATATCTGTAATTCAGTTAAAAGGAACCAATTTATTATAAGAACAAATGATTGTTTATTGTGACATTGTCACGATGCCAGGTTTTAATTTTTAATGTTCTTTAAATAATCTGATACGTGTAAAACAGTACTTAGATTTAGTCTTGTAGGTTTTATAAAGATATGTTTTGAAATTTAAAGACATTATAATCAATACACTGATGCCTTCTGATGATATGATTAATAAGTAAGGTTATATTGGGTTGAACAAAAAAATTTAATGTATTTTTAAAGGCTTGGTTATCTGAAAAAAATGTGTGATTTAATTAAAACAGTTGTGAAATTTAACACATCATTGTTGCTGGTGTGAGATATTATTCTTTGTTTTAGAATGTTTAGTTTAAATTAAAAATTACTCTGTTAAAAGTAAATGCTAAATGGTGCTGATTTACATTGTTTTAATGCACATGATCATAACCACACTCAAAGACAAACATGACCATAAAAGACTATTTAGAAAAGTTTTAAATACATGGATAGTCCAGAAGATGGTCACATGAAATTTTCATAATTTGTCTTGCAATTGATGAGGTAAATTTTGAAATTGATTTGCTCCTGAACATCCTACTTTTCCTGTTAGCAACAGAGTCCTGCCGGTCATTATCTAATTCTTTTCCAGGGAAATTTTTGAATTGAAATAATGTGACTTCCAGTTTGCATCAGAAGTTTATATATGGGTAATCAGGGCCTCCTGTCCCTATTCTATATTTGGTCTTTACGTTCATATATCTAACTCCATTCTTGAGATTAAGGATGGGCAGGCAATAGTGGGAATTTATAGGTCTACAATTTTTCCAAATTGCAGCCCAACAAATGTTTACAATTGTCTTTAACAGCCATCATCAAGTTATAAAATGTTATATAGAACAAAATTGAAATAAAATACAACCCCATAAATTTGTGCTTGTGGTTGTAGGCATAATGAATGGAAAAATAAAATTAAAATAAATTACAAAATAACAACAGAGGTTAAATAAGGTACATATAAATAAAAATACAGTAGCTTCTTGTTATATTGTGCTTGTTGAGAGAAAAAGAAACAGCATGATTTATCTAGCGGCACAATATAGTTGAGTACTAAACATTCTGGGCTCTTACTAAGCAGATTATACATGCTATGGAATCTCTGTCTTCTATTCTTTCATTAGCAAGTGTTTCTGATATAAAATAAATTTTTCAATACTGAATTTTATTCATGGTTATATTGTATTAAATGACATTTACATAAACATTGATACTATGAACATTCATTTAGCATTATTTTGTATTTAATAATGACATTTAAAGACACATACTGTTGATATAAAAACAAAATATCTGTTGTGATTTTATTATACAGTACTACATTTCACAATAAATTGCTTATTAAAAATATGTGTAATTTATATTTCTCAATAAAAATTATAAATACAGTAATTAAAAATCAATGGCAATTGATAATTTATTGAATCAAGTGCATTTAAAATTTGGGGACCAAAAAAAAGCATGATATATCTGAATCCACAATATAATGAGGGGCTACTGTAAAATCCTATTTAAATTTATATTTATTCTTTTTATTTATATGTACTTTATTTAACCCATTTTATTGTCTTGTAACTTTTCTTATTTTTCTTTACCATTCTTTATGGCTGTAACCACCAGCAGAAATTTAAGGAGTTTCATTTTATTTAAATTTTGTTTTATATAACATTCTATAACTTAATGATAGCTGTTAAAGAGATGAAAGCATTTGTTCTTATAGTAAGTTGGTACCTTTTTAATTGGATTACATGTATTAGTGTGTGCTTTTATTGTAATCTCATACAATTTTGTAGTATCTGTTAAACTTATTGGTTAATGTCTAACTGTTGATCATTGGTTGTTAATATATACCATACCTTATTATTAATATGTTCTCATTTAAGAAAACTTGTAAGTTAAAAAAAGTATATCTTGGCATCCTTGTCTGATATTAGAATGTATAAAGTAGTTAGAACTTCAGTCATCATAATTATCTACAAAAAATCAAATTTTAAAAAATTCACTTTGAGAAATGTGATGTTCACACTTCAAACATAATTATGCTCTTAAATTTTAAATATATCAGTTATTTTGATTGCATTATATTAGACAATATTTTTATCTAGCTCAAAATAATAGAACATTAATAAATAATGAAATATAATTCTGATATGATAATTAAAGTTCATCTCAACATCATGTTTAACTATGAAAAAGATAAATGAATAAATGTTAAAAAAAAAGTTTGTTTTTGATAATGTTTAAATGTTTTTATAATCTGATTTTAAGAATCATTTACACTTTTAATCAATATTTTCATCCTCAACTATTAAAAATTATATAATAATGATTATTTCATGATTGATATCGTGTTTATTTGATGTTGAAGAGATTCTCATATAAATTAATTTTATTAGAGTATAAAATATCTATATAACAAAAGCTTTTTATATTAATTAATTAAATTAACTTTCTGATTTTATTTTCTTTTTTCTCCTGTAATGTAAAGCAGTAGTTCAAGAATTATTAAAACTTGATTAAGAAATATCTAGTTTTTCAAATAGATACTATAATCAAGGCTGAATATTGAAAGCATTTGGTTTGCAGCACATTTGGTCAGTGTTGGTCAGATTGTACATTGTCATCTTATGTCTTGATGTAATAATACAATTATTAAACAAAAACAATTGATATACAAACAAAAACATCTGAAATATAAAAAAATTGCACTAAGTAAAAACTTATGACAATTTAAATGACAGTCAAAATTTTTCTTAGGAGTTTTTCTTTGGTAAAGATACAGTAAGCTTGGCACTTTGAAATGAAATGTAGAAAAGAATAGTACAATACAGGTAGAAATCTTGTGGATACCACTTTGAAGCATCAAGCTTATCTTTACCAAAGAAAAATATTGACTGTTGTCTAAATTGTCATAAGTGTTTACTTGGCATAGTTTTTTTACATTTCAGATGTTTTTGTTTGATACATACCTTACAGTTTATAACAATCATTATCTAGTTCTATTTTTGCTGTTTTCAATTAATAAGTTACATTTGTTTTTACTAGCTGGAACCCCATGTAAATGGCCCTTTTACTCCAGATTTAGCCCATCCTATTTCAAAACTTGGTCACAATGCTAAAGAAAATGGTTGGCCTGTAGAAATTAAAGTTGGTTAGTTCATCCTACACTTTTAAATAAAAAATATTTTGTAACAATCATAATAACTCTGTAAATATATAATTTGTGTGACTTTTTCAGGTCTTATTGGTAGCTGTACTAACAGCAGTTATGAAGACATGGCAAGAGCAACGTCGGTGGCTAAACAAGCCTTGAAACATGGATTAAAATCAAAATCAATATTTACTGTAACACCAGGTTCAGAACAAATAAGAGCTACCATTGAAAGAGATGGACAAGTAAGTAGAGTTTTGTAAAATACATTTTTTTGTGTAAACAAATTATGTTAAATTTCACATAATACAAAATTAGGCTCAAGTTCTACGACAATTTGGTGGAATTGTGTTGGCTAATGCCTGTGGACCTTGCATTGGACAATGGGACAGGTAAGCAAATTGGAAATTGAAAACATAAGAATTATTTTTTATGATAACTGCTTTGATGATATTTATTGATGCAACAAAAGAATTAAATTTGATACTTGAAGAATAAAATGAGGCATTTTAATATCTGTAGAAAGAAAAACATATCACAAATCCTGATGAATTAATACTGTTTTTTCAGAAAAGATATTAAAAAGGGTGACAAAAACACAATAGTTACTTCTTACAATCGTAATTTTACTGGAAGAAATGATGCTAATCCAGCTACACATGGTTTTGTAACTTCACCAGAATTGGTCACAGCTTTATCTATAGCAGGAAGACTTGATTTTAACCCTCTGACTGATGAATTAACTGGAGCTAAAGGTTTGATATTTTTTATGGAATGAATTGCTAATGAATGGTAGAATGTATTCAGTAAGTATAGAGTAATAAAATTAAATGCTTTTATTGAAGATTTTCCATTTAAATTGAGAGATTTTATTTGAATAGAGTAACTTAATGGAAAAGTTAGTAATTTTAGATTAATTTTTAAAATACTGTAATACACACACACAAATAACTAGCATGATAATTAATTAATTACAAAAATATCAATTAAATGGTTGAATTCTTTTATCAGGCTATTTAAGGCTAATTAATTAAGTAATTTGGCTAGAGGTAGCAGTTAAGCTGCCATCTCTTGTTAAATTTGGTTATTGTATGGTTAGATCTAAATTTAATTATTAATTAGTCTGGAAGCAAAGATCAGACTGAGGTCCAGATAGCATGACTTGCAATACATCTGCATGTTAAGCAGGGTTGGTTGCAGGTTTGTGTTACACTCTGGTCCAATTTTTCTTTTCTTCCAGATTATTCTAAATTTTATTCTAATTATTAAATTTAACAAGAGATATTGAGGCTTAACCACCTACTTGAGCCAAATTACTTAATTAATTAGCTTTAAATAGCCCTAAAAAGGAATCTGGTTGGTTGTTTAATATTTAAATACTGTAATAATTTAAATAATGAAAAACCAGAATCTTTGAGAAAAAAATCTTTTTAAGATTTTTATTTTCCTTGTTTTATAGATTGATTACTGTCATTATTAATAATTTTCATTTAATTCTTTGTTTAGATGCACAACATTAATTAAAGTAGCTTCAGTTTTCTTTAATGTCTTATCTGGTTAAAATATAAACTTACACAAAATGTTTTTTATTAAGGTGAGAAATTCAAATTGGAATGTCCATCTGGAGATGAACTACCATCTCGAGGTTTCGATCCAGGAGAGGAAACATACCAGGCACCTCCCGAAGATGGATCTGGTATTGCAGTTGAAGTTGATCCCAAAAGTCAAAGACTACAACTTTTGTCTCCTTTTGACAAATGGGATGGAAAAGATTTAACTGATTTAATTGTTCTTATCAAGGTTAAATTGTATACAAATCACTTCCTTTAAATATTCATAATTTTTATGCAGTTTCAATATATATGTTGCTCGTAATTTTCAGGTGAAAGGAAAATGTACAACCGATCACATTAGTGCTGCTGGACCATGGTTAAAATATAGAGGACATTTAGATAATATCTCCAATAATATGTTTATAGGGTAAAATTACTATAAAATCATCTTTTTAGTTATTAAATATTATAATTAAGATATTTTTAATGTTTAGTGCCGTAAATTCAGAAAATAACGAAATGAATAAAGTTAGGAACAAAATAACTGGAGAATGGGGTTCAGTTCCAGACACTGCTAGATATTATAAGGTATAAAATCTAAATTAAAACTCTTGAAAAATTATAAAAGTAAAACGGAATTAAACTTTTTCAAATGACTTTTAATATTTAGGCAAATAATATAAGGTGGTGTGCAATTGGAGATGAAAATTATGGGGAAGGCAGCAGTAGAGAGCATGCAGCTTTAGAACCAAGACACTTAGGTGGAAGAGCTATCATTGTAAAAAGTTTTGCTAGGATTCATGGTTGGTTTGATTTTAAAATTTTAATTATATTTATATTGTTCTTATCATTAAATTTTGTTCATTAAAATTTCAGAAACAAATCTAAAGAAGCAAGGTTTATTACCATTAACTTTCTCAAATCCAAGTGATTATGATAAGATTCAGCAAGATGATAGGATATCTCTACTTGGTTTAAAAGATTTGGCACCTGGCAAGGTAATTGAATTTTACCAATATTATAAAAATAATTATATTATATATATATATATATATATAAAAATGGACGTGTATGTCCCTATATTTCACTTTTCNTTATTATTATTATTATTATATTTTACATAATAATATTATATTTTATATATGAAATTTTAATTAAATTTTAATTTTATTATTATACAAAAAGATACAATGGTAAAAATGCTTTATGTATGACTGCACACCAAAGGTAAAGAAATGCAGCCTTTGTTAGTTTACATAGTGAGAGTGTAGTGAAAATGACGTCACAAGCAGCTATAGCTACACTTCGTTGCATTATAGTTTAGAAATGCTTTCCAGTTGAAGTATCCGATAGATTACGGCATTCAATTTTAATTCCAGTTACAGCTGATAATGCTTTAATTAAAAAACTAGTTATATATTTAAATAAATATAAACAATTGAGCATTTCTCTTTCTGAAAATGTGAGCAAAGTAGAGAGTTAGAAGATAGTTAATTATATTTAAAATATAGTATTTTTTTATTCTTTAGAAAACTTTAAGAATGATTAAATTTTATAAAATGACTCTTAATCTTTCCATAATATTTTTATCAACATCACTTCGACTTTTTTATTTTCACAGCATAATATTGTATTATACATACAAGAGTCCAAGCTTTACAATGTAGCAGACGTAAAAGCTGTTTTATCTTTGCTGCAGTGACTCCTTGCAGCAAACATTTAGAAATGGTTTGCTGCAAGAGGTACTATAATGTAGCAACCAAAGAATGTTATAATGCTGTGTAAAGAAACACAATCAAAAATGTAGTCAGTAAGTAGCATTGCATTTTACTGTGGGGTGTGCCACTGTTGGGTTTATGATAGCCAGCAAAATAGATGTAAATGCACCCACCCCAGTGATACACAATGGTGCAAGTGTGTTAATGAATTTATTCATTTAAACAATTGTTATTAGAACAAAATATACGAGAAAGTCTCCAAAGGGTAAAAGGTACACAGGTAAAAGGTAATAGTGATATCACAAAAAAAATCAAAGAACTGTGTGCTTAATGAATAATTATTTTGAAAATAATTATTCATTAAGCATACTGTTCTTTGATTTGATACTTTCCAATAAATAATGATATTTTGGATCCATAATTACAAATTACAATAAAGCAAATGATGCCTATTTATTTCTGCCCACAAAAATCACTTTTTGGTATTTGTAATCTTTCAGATTAATTTTAATGATTGGAATTAAATTGCTTTTATTCATTGTTAGAAGCAATACACACAATTTTGGTTCTCAAAAGAATTCAGTGATTTAGATTACAAAGCAATTTGTTTTCAAATAATGTTGTTAAATTGTTTTATAATCTGTTGAATATAACATAATAAATTTTAGTTGCCTGGTATATTTAGTCATGTATTGAATTACAATTAGTATGAACAGATATTGTTAATTTGTAATTTTAATTTTTAAATACATTGATGTCTGAATATTCATAATGCTTGTAAATAAACAGATTTGTATTTGCACTGGTAGTGATTTTCATAAATAAAAATAAATACAGATATATAGATTAACATTTACTGATTGTGACTTTCTAATTGTCCAATTAATATAGCAAATAATCAAAATCTTATCATCACTTAAGCCTAAATAGTAATTACATTACTGGATAGTTAATTATAAAATGTAGATTTATCAGTATATTATCGGAATCCTTAGTTTTAGACTTATTTTTAGTATTAAAATGTTGATATATGATTTTTAAATTTCTTTTTCCAGCCGGTAATGTGTGAAATCAAGCACAAAGATGGTACCAAAGACACAATATCTCTGAATCACACCATGAACGAGACACAGATAGAATGGTTCAGAGCGGGAAGTGCCCTAAATCGTATGGCAGAAACGACAAAATAACAGAACATACAAGAAGAAAGAATATTTTATTTCTTTTTATTAAAAATCTTTGCAAATATAAATAGAAATTTTCATCAGAAGATTTATTGGTCGAAATGGCCTTAGAAGGAATGAACAGTAGACTTAATTAAGAACAGATGTAATTACACTAGTCTTCTCTATGGATGTAATATAAACGGAACATAAGTTATTTGTTAGTGTAATTATTATTGTCACAAATTTACAAAGTACTGACAATAAATTGTTATAAATAATATATGTTGAATTTTTATGCAGGTGGAATTTAAATTTTTACTTAAAAAACATTGAGACAAAATTTATTAACAAAGTCATCAGTACACTATTTTTATAAAAATATTACTAAAGAAACTAAAAATATGAGAGTAAATATTACTATGATACATAACTATTTAATGTCTTTGGGAAAATTCAGATTTGTCTTTGAAAATTTTCAAAGGTTCATTTTTTTTGTTAAATTGTCTCTCACATCTAAAACATAAGCAAATGTTTTAATGTTAATACAGTAGAGTGTCATTTATCCGAAACGTTGGTTATACGAAAGAATTCCAGTCGGCCTAAAGTATAATTTTTATTTGTTTTTATATTTTTCAATGTATTTATTTTGTTTGTAAAACATAAAGAAATTATTTTTAACAATACAATAGCCACGATTATTATTTTAAAAAGTTTGTGTTAGGCTTAACATCGATGAAAATTCAACACAAAGCGACATGCAATGGAGAAAAATTTCAACACGGGATAGGTTAATATATTTTTTCATACATAATTGGTTATTTGAAAAATAAGTTATCCGAACAACCCCAGTCCCCAATTGATTCGGATAAATGACGCTCTACTGTATTTGCAATTAAATAATAGTGTCTCCACAGCAGAAAACCATATAACCATAATTATGGTTTGCTGCTGGAAGCACAAATCCACCACTACGTGAGACAGCTAAAAAGTTAAGAAAAATGTCTAGTATATTTTCCAGTATGCCTCAGAATAAACTGAATTCAAGCAATGTTTTGCTGGAAGTTTAGAAATTTTGTTAAATTTTCAGATAGTGTGTCAGTAATTATAAAATTTGTTTCTAAAGCTTAGTTCACACTGAGTGTGATTCACTGGTGAAAGCGAAAAACAGAGGGAACAACCCGTCAAACATGACTTGTTTGATGGGTTATTCACTCTGTTTTCACCAGCAAATCGCGCTCAGTGTGAATTAAGCTTAAGGCATTCAAGAGTATTGAATTTTTTTTAAAGAAAAGGAACAAAAGGGAATGTCACAAGACTGTTCTCTGCAGAAATGACACCTGTAACAAAGGATTATAATACAAATAACAAAGAATAAAAAAATCAATAAACATGAAAAACTAATATATATATCAGACATGGGCAAATGTGGCTCTTGCTGAAAGTGTTAATTTCTGCTTTTTATTATTATTTTTACAATTTTATTTCCAGAATTTTGTGAAAATATGTTTATTAAAAAAATTCAATATTTGTTTTATATCATGTAATAAAATCACGGTACAGAACTGCAGCTCCCATGCATTTTGCAAACCTTCATTTCAGTTCCCACTGAACTCTTGCTTGCCCACCCGATATATATACTTAAAATAACTAAAAGATTATATATTGTAAATTTTACAAATGTGTTTAAATGTAGAAAATCATGTAAAGATTGTTCCACAAAGCCCCCACATTTTTAACATATCAATAGAAAAAGGATCTGAAAGAAATGGCAAGCCTAAAAGATGGGGTTAAAGAAACAAATTTGGTTACGAGAAGCGGAACTCTTAAATTCTTAGGGTACAGCCAATTGGAATGAATGGAACCAGGGAAGTATTTATATAAAAGTATCTGATATATCCTTGAAGAGTGTTGTGTTTTGCCATAAAAAAGCATGTTGCATTAGCAGTAGTTAGTTATTGCAAATAAATAGTGTGTTCTTAGTCTATTAAGCCAAGAAACAAAATGGAGAACAGATTTGTGTTACCCCAAAATCAAAACTTGCCTTCACAAAGTTGAAACACCCATGTTCCCTGCCAAAAATGAATTTACAGAGACCCAATCAGCAAGCAAGGTTCTCAGTATTCTGGGATGCCAAAATACCACAGGTACTGTAACACACTGACAAGACTGAAAGCTGCTATTTGACTAAAGACATCAGTTTAGGGATTACCCTTGATGATAATGCAAGATCCCATAAGGTAGTAGCAACGGTATTCCATGTTGGTAAATTTGGTTGGAAATGTCTCACTCTTTTTATGGTCTTGATCTCATTCCCACCAACTTTCACTTTTTTCCATCTTTGAAGAAGGCACCAGGAGAACAGAATTTCACCAGCAATGAAGTGAAAGAAACCATTCAAAACTTTTTCAATAGGCATAGAGTTCTATAATAAGATTTCTTTAACTTGTGGAGCAAACAACAAATGCAATATGAATGGAGATTATGTCAAAAAAATAAAGTGAGAATGCCTCTTCCTATCCACAATGTACTGTACTTAGTCTCCAGAATAAAACTTCCTGTTAATAGTAGCCCTGGGAAACTTATTTTTGGACTTTTTATATCCCATTTTATAAACAAACATTACATCCCGATACATTATAAACTACAAGACAACCAATGATGCTGTATGTTATCAGGCTAGATATTGGCTATAATACTAATAAATTACGAAACAATTTGGTACTAGAGGAAGATGTTAGGTACAGTACCATCTCTTTAAAAATTATAATTATTAAATTTATTATATAATTTAGACTAATGGAAGAAAAGATTTGTATTATAGTATTATAGCTAATATCTAGTCTGATAACATATGGCATTGGTTGGCTTGTATCTCATTTTGTACAAAAAATGCAATTGATTTCTTCTAATCAATTAGAATGCAGCTTCTAAGAAACGTATATTTTACGGAAATTGCACATGTATTCTAACACTTATAGAAAATATGGAGGAATAAGTTGATAACAATACTGGAAGATAAATAAGGAGCAATAACTCTCCATTGTCAAATATTAAAAGTTCTTATTTCATTTTCAATTCCAAAATGTCACTGAAAATGCTCTAAGTTAAAGCAAATTTAGTAGTTTACTTTAGATTCCCCATTTTTGCAAATGATAGCATTTTACACAGTTATAACAAAAATTTATATCCTTTAGAAAGTCTTGCAATCAACAAGATGAATGATTGCAAGATTGCCATTAGGAGTCCAGATTCCTATATAGCCGATGAAAGCCATCTCACTCTTACACACAAATAACTAATGAGTGCTGAGGATACTGCATTAAGATGCTAGAAACCACCCTAAAATGCAAAGTTTAAATTGTGATTCAGTCTGCAGTAAGCTGTAAGAATGAGCACTATATATCAATACATACAGTAGTGGATTTAGCACTCGAGAGGCCCCAGGCACAATTCAATTTTGAAGCCTCCCTTTAAATATTTTCACTACCCCTATAACCTACAGTGTGCATTCTACATGCAAGTTTTTTACTCTGGTAGGCACTATACAGGTGGTAAAAAAAAAAAAAAAACACGAGACGTAGGGAAATAACATTGAAAATAAACTAATATAGAATTACAACTGCCTGGCTGTATTTAAAAGGTTACTGATGTTCAGATTGTATTAATTATGAAAATTGATACTTATTGGTACAAGAATCATTAAGTTTCAATAGATAAAAGTGTTAAAACAAAAAAAATCTAGTAATCCATGGATATATACAATTTATTTTTAAATTAACTACTGATTTGTATTTCAAAAATCTAGTAATCTACAAATGAGAATTTATTTATAAATTATTATAATAATGTCCATTATTTACCAAACAATAGTGAAATTATTAATTTAGGGAATATTGCTAAATTATTATTTTCATTATGGAAAATAAAAATAAAAATTTATTTTGAGAGCTGAATTTTGAAGCCCCAGGCAATGCACTTCGTGCACCTGTGCAGAAATCTGCCACTGTATACATACATATATACATATAGTGTTAAAAAAGCATTCAGCATTTATATGGTAAATATTACACCCAATACTGTGTAAAAAAAACCGTAGTAATCATATACCAAAATTTCAACCATTTCTAAGATATTAAGAATTTAGTATATTAATTAGAAGGCAATAAGTTGATACTGCATTGCAGACAACATGGAGGACAAATCTTGCCATGTCTTTACCTTGATATTTACAGAATATGTTCTGTGTCCTCCTCCCATTTTCATCCATATTTAGCATAATCTTAGTTGCAAACTCCAGGTCTTTGTCAAATCATTTATCTTAGGTCAAAAACTTGGCCTTTTCTGAGTTGTTGTTATTCAGTGAATATAAATATTGAATGCTTTTAACACCTTGCTTAATGTAATGCATTCATATTAATGCAATTTATATACAATTAATGTGCAATACATATTGATATCTTAAATGTAATTTAAAATTTTCCATGAGTAAATAATTCTGCACATTTTTTAAAAAGCATGACTGACTTCCTCATATTTTTGGAAACTTTAATCTTTTTAATTTAATTTTTGGAAAAGGTTTAATCTTGAATGTTTGGTGCAAAATATAACACAAAATCTTATAAATGTTAATGCACAATGTAATTACAACATATAAAACATACCACAAAACAAATGATCATACTACAAAAACAGTGCATTGCAGTATGTTTTATACCTTATCATTAAGACCAGTTAGAGCAGGCATGGCCAATATACAGTCCGTCTAATGAATTTATGCGGCCCACCACAATTAATCTTTCAATATCAGCTACTCAAGTCCGAATAGGTTGATGAAAAATTCTGACGCCTTAAAAAAAAAAAAAGTCAACAATTCACTGTGCGTTTAGAGTTAACACTCCATTACAAATCTCTTAAGTACAGCATAGAATGTTGATAATGCATGATAATGTGAAAAATGTATCTGTAATCTCTGTACGATTTAGTCTCTACAGGGTGACACCACAATGAGATCTCGCACCACCTCAAAATCTTCCTGGTTCAGCCCCTGAAAAAAGTTTTCTTTCCAATTTGGCCCGGGAGAAAAACTATTGGCCACCTGAGTTAGAGGATGAAAGAACTTGTAATTATAACAGCATGTAGACACATTAAATGTTGGTTTATATTTTAAAAAATTTGCAAATCTACTTATAATACAGGTTATAATCCAGAACATCTTGCACAATTTAGATTCATATTGCAACATAATCAAGAAAAAAATGCAATAATAGGCCCACAGAACAAACTCGCATCCTAAAAGTTAACCTTATTGGTAATTAACAAATTAAAAAAGTTACACTTTCAATAGACAATCTAAAAATCTTTAGCAAAGCAATAAAATCAGACTATTGGACTAACCTCTTATGGCACTATCCTTAAATACCATTGTTGAGCACTACAGTATTTTGAACAGATGTAAATTAAAAAGTGGTGGTATATAATAAAGAAAATTATGCAGTGTTAGATAATATGAATATATTTTAGCATCAATACATTAAACAATAATAATACTGTTCTTTAACAATATTTGAATGGCATATTAAAAGATATTTCATATTGTAAAGATTTGTACATTTGGTACAAAAATGCACTAAAGTATCTGCAGATTTAGCCATAAACCTTTAAAAATATAAATTTTTTTAAAATCTTGTATTTAAAGAATTTCAGAAGTTATCTTGTTTGGCTGCAATTTGAAAAAAACATTTAGTCCTATAAATTCCCACAGTCATCTGGCTGTCCTTTAATCTCGAGAATGGAGTTGATATATGAAATCCAAGATCTGATATGGAAACCTTAGGGGTAGGAGGCCCAATTAGTTAATTGCAATAATATATAAATTTCTGATGCAAATCATAAGTCATGTTATTTTAATTCAAAAATTTTCCCCAGATGATGTTAGATGATTGACATGACTATTGTTAAAGGAAAAGTATGATGTACAGGGACAAGCCACTTCTAATTTGAGGTGGAGAATATTTAAATAAATTTAAAATATGATGAAAATTGCAGCTTGGCATTGTGACAATGACACATAATTGCTCATTGATATGTACTTTAGATATGAAATTTTTTAAGTTAGTAGACTGCTACTTTATGTCCAATTGCTTTACAACATTCCACTTTTATAACTACACATAATGGCATATTTTTTGTCATTCCTCACTGGTATTTTAACTGTACTAGCAAAATATAAATTCAGTGGATGACTGATTGGATGTAAATCCAATAAGTTTAGACTTTGAGGCAGCCACACTATGATATGACAATTTCACTTTAAGCACTGTGACATAAGGCAAAGTAGAGAAATTTTTTCTGAGACAGTTATTAAATTACCAGTTTCAAATAATTAAAATGATTGATGATTAGAACACAGAATTTAAATTTGTGCAGAGAATAGAAGGAGCATACAGACTTTGTGGCTATTCTGTATATATAGTAATTCACTTCTGAGTAAATACTTATCATGCTCCATATGAAATGAAAAGAGACATAAATGGAACAATTCTTTATTTCATGACAGAGCAGTTGACTGAGATATGTTTACATATGTTATTCAAACAGGACTGTGCAATCGTGAAATATTGAACAAAGTGAGTGTTCAATATGAATGAACTGAACAGAAAACAAGATAAAATTTTGATCTAGTTGAAAATGATAATTACTTTATCAGAGTATACAAAAACAAACTGATTCAAGTTCATAGTAGAGATGCACAAACGGAACTATCTGAGTATCAACTGAAATCTTGTATATAATTCCAGGTAAGTTTTAAAATCACAAGTGATATTGCAATTTATTTTAAAAACGGATTATGTAAGATGATTTTGGATATTTCTGAAGCATTTAATAGGAAAATTTTTAAATATTCAATTCTAAAAACTTTATTAATCAGAGAATTTTTCAAAAGAAAAAAGTCACAATAGTAATCTCTTAATTATAAAAAAAATGAAATTTGAGATTCTGAGACTGCTACTTTTATAATTATCCATATTTATTGTACTGTGTATCATTGATGAAATATATTTACTATTCTGAAGAGTAATAAATATATCTTAATATATAATTCTGAGATGTTAAAGTACAGAGACAAAACTGAAGAGAAAAAAAAAAAGCAAAAAAATAATATTGAAATAATTTTTGTATTACATGTTTTAAATCTTTACAGTTTAAAGTATACAAAAAATTTTTAAAACCGTACTTAATAAGTAAAATAATAATGATCACATAATTTACATAACAAGCCTGAAAATATAAAATTTGGAAAACAAATTCTTAGCAATGTAAGTATTTATTTAAAAAGTTCATCTGCTGCATCATAGACTAGATATTACTTTAATCCACGATAATAATTATTAGTTAATTTATTTACAACGTGTGTTTTCAAGACGATGCCACTTGCATCAGTGGGCCTTCTAGATATTCAGCTAGTGCCTGAGTTTTGGCTTTTAACATACCAAGTCCTACACTATCTTTACCATGGAGACAAAGTAAGAGATTTGCAACTTTAGTTATTGCAATTTTTCCTTCCTAAAATGATACAGAAGAAATGTATTTTATGTACCAATAATAAGGTAATATTGACTCTTATAAGATACTACCTCACAATCTAGCAGGATAAATTTCATGTTATCTTCATTCAGTGCAGTTCGACCATTCTTCTCGTAAGCCAACCAGATGCTACTGGCAATGGCGGCGGCAAGTCTCGCATCTTTATCTCCGTAACCAGAATATGCGAGTAGAGTACCTTCTCGGTTTAATAACCTGTACAAAATCCAGAAAAAATTAGAAAATTTCTTTTTAAAATAAATGAATGATTAATAAAAGGCAAGAGTCAGTTTCTGTTGGACATCAATGTCACCCTGCTAAAAGTAGAAAAACCCATAAAAAACAAGAAAATCATCAAAAGGAACCAAGAGTTCAGAAGTCACTCTTAACATGACAAAACCTTCAAAACTTGAATGTATAATACTAAATAATTTGCAAAAATTGAATTGATGAACATTTAGAATAAGCAATTTCAACAGTAGGGTTTAAAACTTTTTCTATAGGAGACTTAAAATGGTATATATGATGTATGATGAAATATATTGTCAATTTGTTGTTATTTGTTGATGTATAATTAGTATATAGAACGAAACCATAGCAAAATTATTGTTTACTCAATATATATAATATGCAAATTGCAAGGTTGGGTCACTACCATCTCATTTAAAGTTAGAAATGTAAGGACCAATTTGTGTGTGTCTGGTAAAACATCAACTGATATAAAGAATTGCCATAAGGGACTTTTCCTTAACTCATTAGCTATGTTCAGCAGACTGAAGTCTTAACTAAGCAAATTAGTAGCAGCGACATAGCAACCCGGATCTGACAAACGATGAACAAAACCCCACATCGGTCAGTTTCGGGTAGCAACAGATAGTGTAAACAAAAGACGCTACCAAACATGACATCAATACACCAAACATGTTCCAAAAGAATGCTACCATAGAGGGCGTTCGGTAGAAAAATACTCGACAGCTCTGGAACTGTTGAGTCTGCTGAACACAGCCATTACTTCCTTTTCTTTTGAACTTGGAGAGACACCTTGCAAAGTTTGTGTTAATGACATCAAGCACACAAGATTTAATTTAGTAATCGCTTGAGTAATGCAGTGTCTAATGTCTTGTTAATAAAGGATTTATAAATCTAAAATTTTTTAATCTCAACTTGATTTTATCCATAGAAATCAATTGCAAATATAAAATTTTTCAATGTAATATCTGATATCCATTAAACCCTCTGCCAAAATGAATTTAATACTTTCCTGTAGTGATACTTACAGAGTACATTGGATTCCTCCTGTATTAGCCTGACTCAAAACTTGAGTCAATGCTTTTGGTTTGAGCATTTTTCTTGTTTTAGCTTTACTTCAAGCAAAAAAATATCACAACACCTATTTATCTGTCAATTCACGTGATACGTAACGTTCCGATAACAGTGCCATCTAAAATTCTGTTAATTTTTCACTTAATTTTTAAAAATTTATTCTAATTTAATTAATGAATATTATCATCAAATTATATGTAAAATTAATTAAAATATGTAGTATTTATTGCAAGTTAAGCGAAAAATCTTATACGCTTTTTTAACTTTTTTTTTTTAATTCTGTCTAGATAAAATCTTGTAACTCAATTTTCGATCTAGTTGAAAGTCAATAGCTCTAATGCTACGAAAGTGGCGTAATAAATATTTCTGCCACTTCGAGCGCTGCAATTGCTTTGCGGCGTAAGTTTGGCTGGAGCATATCACAAACGTCTAGATCATGGATCGCCAAAGTGGTCGATATCGACCCCAGGGGTCGATGAAACATTATTGGGGGGGGGTCGATGTGGAGGGTCGATTTTTTTTTCTTTTTTTTTTTGCCCATAAGGAAATCACAAGAGAATTTTTTTCTTGGCTCATACACTTGCACTTGTAATAAAACTTTACGGTGGGGGTCAATGCGAGGTTTTGGAAAGTTGTTGGGGGTCGATTGTTAAAAAAGTTAGGCGACCCCTGGTCTAGATCCTGAGCGAGCATTAATGTCTATTTCTTTTTCACTGTGGCGCATATGCAAGATCAGTCTTTTCTCCTGATCCAAAAAGTAAAGTGACTTTATCATTGGCTGCGTTCAGCAAATTCAACAATTCGGATGCGTTCCAAAGCTCGACTGTGAATAGTCGCAGTTTAGCGTTGTGTGACGTCAAAAGCAATTCATCCCAAATGAATTTCTGGAACGGAGACGTTTAGCTGTTGAGTTAGTTAAACACGGCCAAGCGAGATATTATAATGAAAATTTTAACGAATGCTATTTCTACAATATTAATGTCAGAAAATAAAGCTTTCTTCCCATTTACAGAAGAAGAAACATGTCTACTTTTTTACAATCTTTATTCAATTAAGAACCAAAGTTGAAGGAAAAAACGATTACACGACAATAGTTATTTTATATAGTGAAATTGATTTTTAAATTTCATTTCAGAAAAATAGAACATCAGCCAAGGTATTGTTTAATCAAGTTTTATCATTTTTTCAGTCAATTTTAATAACTATAAGAATAATTAAATTATATTTTAATTAATTATACTTTCTCATAAATGTTTACATATTACTGGTAGGTAATTATATTACAATTTATAAAAGTTACTCTTAAAGGAAAATTCGTCTCGCTAATAAAGTATCTGCTAAAATAAGCGAAGAAATTTTTAAAGTTTAAAATGCGCAGAGAACGAAAGGAGAATTTTTAAGTCTAATGCACTCTGCCATATTATCTGCAATTTCGGCCACCATTACGGATTGTCCTGAAAGTTTACCGAAGCTTTTCCTTTATTACGTAACGCCACGTGATCGGTAAAAATGTTTCTGTTCCTTAAATGTTGTCGTACACCGATTCCTCAATTTTACCAATCGGTAAATATTTTATGCGTGTGATCCTTTGTAATAAAGGTGATCCGATCATGCCGCTCTGGAATCTGAGATCAAATCTGAATTAAATTTGTAAAATTTTCGTGATTGATTTGCCACGGATACGTAGAGTTCCGGCCCTCATCATAAGGATCGTTCCCATTGCAGGCCAAACTGAATAAATNTTTAAATACGAAAAATTTAATAAAACAATTTTTTTAATAAAATAAAAAATAAAATTTAAAAATGGCTTGGAAAAAAGCATTTTTCACTAGAAGGTGAGAAATTACCTATCGTTAACCTAAGAAATAGAAAAGTAGTACTTTACTGTACGTACAGTACAGTACATAGCTTGCCCCTTTAAAGTATAAAGGTAGCAAAAGAAATTTCAGCGAGATAACACCGTAGCATAATGGAAATTTGTTCAAATGACCAAGAAAGGTTCTTGGCTTTTTCTCTACCAAAACGGATTACAGTTTAGTTGAAGTGGAAAGATTTTAAAGGTTTTAATATCTGGAAATAAATTCGATTTTCCCTGGTAGAATTTATATTTTCTATACACTCAAAAAAAAAAAAAAAATCCTTCGTCCATAGAATTTGAATGAATAAATTGCTAGACGTTAATAGAATTACCTATCTTAATATCTTTATTCTTTTTATTCAATTTTGTGGTTGGTTGAACATTGTTTAAGAATCGTATATAAATTATTATATATCATTCATAAATAATTATTTATGTTATAATTTGACTTTAATTATATTAAAGTAAGTTAATATTTCATAATTACATAATTTATAGAAGCATACAATTATGTGATACATAAATTATCTCTAACTTATTAATACATATTTAAGTTGATGGATATCATAAATCATGCAATTTACTACAAGATTTATAGTAATTTATGAATTATGTAAGTATCTAATGTTACTTAAAAATATATTTATCTTTTGTGTAATTATCTCATTAAGAGTCGTGTTTATAAATAATCCGAGCGAAATACAAAATGTAAGTTTAACTTTTTTGCTGTCAAATTTAACAAACAAATAATTTTTCCCGTTAATTAAATGATAATTCATTTTAATTATTCATTTTATTTATCATTATATTACACCAATTTTTCCAACTCTGTAATTTTTCTTGTTTATTTTTTTCATAAATTCGAATATGTTTATGAGAATTTTCCTTTCTGCGACGAATATTGGAAAAAATTCTTGCTGAACGATTATAGTGCAAGTTTATAATATCGTTCTTCGTATTTTCACGAAAACGTTTCTGCAGTAAATTTAATGTCTTGTCCAAATCTATAAAAGTAAAGCTTAAAAATTATTATTTTTTTTAAACACCAATTCATATTATTTGTGTATTTATATAATATTTTCACTTTTTGAACATTTCCAATCTTGTATGGAGTCGGCATCTTTGAGTTTATATTTCAACTCACTTCTGAAAAATAAATATTTTATATATTATTTTAAGTATATTGAAAAAAGAATTGGTTCTTTAAAAGTTGTTTCTTCTACTTCTTGTAAATGTTAATATACAAATAAGTTTAGTGTCAGAATATTGTTAGAGCTGTGAGATTAGCACTAACGAACAATATGATGACATTATCTGTAACCATTCGGCACTAATTCTTAATTTCCATGCATACATTTGTATCTAAAATTGCCATTGATATGAAATACATAAAATTTATTTTATGCTTTTTGTATTATATATATATATATATATATTTATTTATTCTGTAATGTTTATAAAATTCATTTTACATATGACAATACTAAATCCACATTGCAGAGAGTAACGAAAATCTAACGCTTGCGATAATAGTTCGAATAAAACGGTTTGAAGGATGGCGCGCAAGGTGTATTTGTAGCACATTAACAATGCATTTTTGAAAAATTTTTAAAAAACAGTTCATAGAAAAATGTACAGTATACCAGTACATGATCATATAATTTTTCATTCTCAAATGCGAGTTTTTTATGAATATATTTTAGAATTTTGGCGTCCCATCATCTCGGACGTGCTCCCTTTGTCCTATCTTTCCATGCCCCTAATAAGTATACATTTGTAAGCTATTTACATAGACGCATAAAATATTTCAAAATAATTACTTTTCAGATTTTGCAATTATTTCTTTGCTCTTCTTTACGAATCTCGAAACTTTGTTGAAAGTTAAATGAGAAGCAGAGTTTTGATTTAAAGTTAATTCGTGTTCCGGTCGATAATCAAATTTCAAAACTGAAATTTAAAACTTGTTTATAACAACTTACATTATTTATTTTTCAAAATTAATATATATTAACTTTTGTTCGAGTTAGATTTTACGAATAACTTCGATGTATTGACTAGTTTTGTTGGTTCCCTTATCCATTTCCAAAGGCGCACAGATCGCAATGACGGTCTCAAATTTGGGTCGGGATTGAGCATGTGATAGATTAAATCACGACTTTCTGAATATATACAAAAACAATTAACACAATTACAAAAACAAATTCACAGAAAATGCTATACAATAACACAATGCTATACAATAATTATTCAACCAACCATTACTAATTTGTATCCTAAAAGTTATCTTGTTAATTGCCTCCAGATATATATCTCTCTGTTGCATATGGATGAAAGGAAGTCTTCCACATAACATTGCATAAAGACATATACCTATAAATAGTATCGTTTTATATCAATAAATAATGTTAAATCAGACATTATAGCTGAATATTTTTAAATTAAAACTCTAAAAAAAGCGAATTATCTTGAAGACATTAAAAAGTCTTCAAGTCGACAACATTAATTGTTAAGCTTCATTCAGTTAAAATATTTTTAATATTTCACATTACAATTAATGTAATGTGAAATACAGTATTAAAAATAGTTTAACTGAATGAAGCTTTTGAATACAGGTACTGGTACATGTTAATTAAATTTCATTCGATAATTTGATAAAAACTTATTGAAATTTTTTTATAATTAAGTATTCTTGTATGCAGTGACACACCCAGAGCATGGGCCAAATGGCCCTGGTACCCCCGAAAGTAAAATGAAAAGAAACACCAGTAAATTTTCCAAAACTATTTTCTTAATTAAAATTTATTTATTTATTTATATTGGGTTGTGTGTTCTATTTCTATATTAATTATGAATTAGCGGTCACATAAGGTGGAATTTTATTGAATTCACATTAAAAATCATTTATTCATTCAACTCGGCTCTTCCAAGATTAAATCTTTAGTGTGCTTTGTATATGAGTGCTTGTATGTATATTATAGGCCCACCAGTGGCCAAGCGATCTTCGTACCCTAAGCACCAGGATTTCAGTCGTGGGTTCGCGCCCCGCTTGGACGGGCTGGCCACATGTAGTTCTTCGGGCCTTCTCCTCGTTTGTAATGCCTAAATAGGGGCCAGTTTCCCTTAAAAAGACCTCCCGAAAGGCATCCTCCTAGGCAGATCGCCCAAGTGTTGCGTTACCACAAAACAAACAAACGTATATTATAAATTATTTTCAATAGGACTTATGTTTGAAGATGAAAACTTCAAATTCTTTTCTTCAAGCTTAATTCGCAAATTTCGTACAAATTTGAAAAAATTATTAATGTAAACCGTTTAACCATATTTTTTTTTTTTTTTGCATTTTTATAAGCAAAAAAATTGTATCAGCTTGCCGCTCTAGGGAACAAGAGTCCGAGTTTGAACCGAATCGTCAGACGTTTTTGCACTTAAATAAGAGAACATGCATATATCAAGCTTCGTTTCTTTCCAGCAGACTGCTCCATTATGGACGTGGCCAAACACATGATGAACATGAAAAAAACCCACTGGATCAATAACGGATTAAGACCTTTCGAGACCCCTTTAAGTAATTTTATGACATCATTAAATCATTAACCAATAAGATTTGTCAATAGTTGTAGCTGCAGAATTATTTATAAATTGATATAAAATTGCAACGGTAAAATTGTTTTATATTTTTTTTTTACCAATTTCGGGGCCCAGAGACCCGGGCACCAAGGCATTTGCCTCACATGCCTGGTGAGTAATTTAGCATAGTGCCCACAAGGAAGAAAGTAAAAAACAAGAAAAACTACCTGCACTCCATACATCTACTTTATACCCATTATACTTAGGTTCCAACAATATTTCTGGAGCGACATATCCATAGCTTCCATAAGGAGCATTCAGTTTCTTAAGATTACAATCGGAAGCAGCTAAATCGAAATCTGCCGTGTAATCAAACATTTATATTCACTCATCATTTTAAATAAAATTTTGATGATGCAATAATTAAATGCATACCTGTCAGTTTTAAATTTAGTTCTTTATCCAATAAAATATTCTCTAATTTAATATCTCTATGACAAATTTTATACTTGTGACAAATTTCTATAGCATTTAACAATTGTACAAAAAGTCTTCGGCCTTCAACTTCTGAAAGATGTTTCTGTTTGTTGACGTAATTGAGAAGATTCCCATTTTCGGCTCTTTCGAGTATCAAGTAAAATGCGTCGTCTGTTTCAATGGCATCTATAAAACTCACCTGAAATTGAAAATAAAAATTAAATAAAAATTTTCGGAAAGATTAGTTGAATAGTTAGGCTTCTTTGATGTCCGGGTGGTTGGAGTAGTTCAGGCGTCAGCCTATAATAACTCTGGAGAACCCGGGATCGACTCTAGAGCAAATTTTAATGGGCGTTACGAAACGTAAGATCCGGGATATCGGGCTTCGTCCCTCACTTCTCGGCCTTGTTGTGGGCCTGGTGGAACCTATGATGGGTACGATTATAAAAAGATCTTTTAGTGATCACAAGGTAAAATAGTTTAAAATGTAAAAAAGACGCAAGTTATTTATAATAAGTTCTGCGGATACAGGCCTAATTTAAATTCAAATCTTTCATGTTATGGTGATATCTTATCTTGCTGCTTACTGTATAATGAGATAAATTTAAAATTGTTAAATTTTATACTTTATTCACCGCTTATAACTTTCACTAAATATAACTACAACTTCCTCACAGCACTTAACAACCTTCTCTAAATTCCGCGCTGAAAACTTAACGTCACTAGGCACTAAGAGGGCTTTTTTCCCATGTCCATCGTGTCTAGGCCCTTAATGAGAACAGCCTCGAGGGACGAGACTCAACAAATTCAGGACAGATCACTCCGAAAAATTTTCATCCCGGTCTCCGAAGCCGTAGGCTACGAAATACGACTAGTGCAAAGTTTTCCTTTTTTTGTTTAAAAAAAAATATTATTATAAGCAGTGGCGCACTCACGATTTAATCTTGGGGGAGCCGAGTTGAATGTATTAAAAAGTTTTTAATTCAAATTCAATAAAATTCCCACTTTATGCGTCCGCTAATTCACAAGTAATATAGAAATAGAACACACCACACAATATAAACAAAAAAATAAATTTTAATTAGGAAAGTATTTTTGGAAAATTTACTAGTGTTTTTTCCTTTTACTTTGGCGGGTGCCAGGACTCCTTGGCCCACCCCCTGGGTGAACCAATGATGTAAGAGAAGCATTCAAATTCTTCTATTCTGTTAATTTAGTAAAACGAAAATCTACAATTTAAGATCGAAAATATTTTATTCTGAATACATAAACAATTAAACCTAAACAGAATATTCTTTTTATTATTCTTTGCCGATAGGAATATTAACTAAGACAACTAATCTCCAAGGAATCTAATAATTTTAGTATAAGAAAATGAATATTTTTCATCATATATCCCAAAAAATGTTAAACAAAGAGAGATATTCATCCCTTTTCCTCAACATTTTCTCCGTGAATATATTCTAAAATAAAAGTTTAAAAAAAATAATATTTTTTGCATACCACTAAATGATGTCGAATTCTTTGCAAGCACCTAATTTCATTTAAAGTAATTATTGGATCGACCTTATTTTTTTTAACAATTTTCACAACAAATTGAATATCATCATTATCAATTTTCTTGGCTTTCTTAATTACGCAGCGATCCTCACGATAGAGAATTTTCTCAGTTATATATCCGTGTCGGAGTAATAGATGTGATTTAACTTTATCCGGCATCCATAAACCCCGACTATCTTTCAAAAACAAATTATTTTCGTCCGAATAATTAGATTCTTTATTTACAGCATCCATTTTTGTGTTTATTTATAAATATATTAACAATGATGTATTATTAATTTATTGTTACTAAAGATTTTGATAATTAAATAAATATAATTATAAATATTTTTATTATTTTAATAAATACGAATAAAAATAATATTTAAATATTTCCGAATTTAATTTTAATTATTATAAATATTTTATTCATGAATATTTAATTTAATTCTGGCAACACTGTAATGTATTTTTGTAATGGCGAGCATGTTTGGAAGATTTGTTTTCAATGCAAATTTAAGGAAATCAGTTGATTTTAGAAGGTTTTCTAGTTTCAAAAGTAATTATAGTTTGGATAAAATATATCCAAATAGTAATTTAAATATTAGCACAGCACAGGAGGTAAATATTAAGTTTTTTGTCATGTTTTTGATCATAAACTTCAGTTTTAAATGAATTTAATATTATTTTAGATTCCAAAAAATGAAGGAGAAAAATTTTCTGGTTATATTCCACTAGGTAAGAATTATTTTAAATATTTATGAAAAGATATACAATACAACTTATGGAGCTTATCTACAGAATGGTTACAAAGATTCGACAATTTTAAAAGGACCCAATAATTGATAGACTACCTGAATATTACTAAAAACACTTTTTTATATTTTACGAACATAAACTATTACTGTTTAGTCATACAGTTAAACAGTTAAAGTCATTAAATCAGTTCTTGTCAGCTATTTTTAGGTTACTGTTGTAAGGTGAAGGTAATAAAGTTTTTCTTTACAGTGTCCTATAATGAATTATTGATTAAGGGTCTGTTCGAAAATGCTTACTGAACAGTTGATGGTACTAATAAATGATGATGATGGTATTTTGGTTGGTCATTCTCTAACCCACCCTTTAAGATTGAGTGTCTGGAAGCAACCTGTAAATGACTGGAAACTTTATAGGTTTAAACTTTTGAGTCTCAGTGATTAAACTTATAAGTATTTCTGAACAGACCTAAGTGTTGTTCAGTCTGAACTTTGGGTTGGGAGGATTTAGTATCAAATCCACTATTCACTGAATTGAATTTCTGTAGTTTATTCTTTCCACTCTGTGGGTACTGAGAGGTCTTTTTTCAATTTGGCCAGGCCCACAATGGGATGGCTGAATTGTGAGGAATAGGACTCAACATATTAGGGATAAACTATGAATCATATCTGATGTTCTAGGCCTAGAATTATACTTGTTTCTCAGAGCACCAGACTGATGCTGTTATTATCTCAGCCATCTGGCTGTCATACTTAGTTGGATTGTGCAATCCATGACATAAATTCATGCATAATAACTATATGGTTATTTTATATAATAATAATAATAATTTTATTAATCACTCATTCACTCTTTACTTACTCAACAAATTATTCACACAGTGAATATTGAAATAAAAGAATTAATAGTGCCAAGTGATCGTTATTATGCTACATTGCATTTATAAAACAACCAGTTTAAATTCTTAAAATTAATACCAAAGGATGTGAATATATTTGTCGTTTTTTTCCAAATATGTACCCGAGTTCAGTCAAATTATCAAAAAAAAAGCAAAAATTATGTTTTAGGAAAGTTTTTGAAAAATGAGAATATTTTAAGTATAAGTTAAGACTGATGTTCACTGGCATCAAGATTAAGGTAATTGATCAAATCATTTGGTCTTGTCTTAATTTTTTTATTTAGGTATAGTACATTGGCTTTTAAACTTAGAATTACTTATATTAAACTATTACAATGGAAACTTATTATCAAAATCACTCATCATTTGTAGTATCATTTTGATGAAAATTTACTACAGTAATTTCATTTTATAGACACCTGTCAGTAGAATGTTTTCAGATAGCTAGAAAGGTTTGATTTTTACACTAACTTGAATATAAGTCTGTAAAACAGTAAATAAGGTTATAGATATTATCATATATATACATATATATACACTATGGAAAAATTTTGTTCTTATTTTCTTTTATTTCTAGATCATTTGAGAGACTTGTTCTTTGTTATCTTGGCATATTTGTTTTCTATTATGTGTTTTTCTTACATTGATTACACTTGTGGCTCAATTGCACACTTCCAGTGTGAATGATTACTCCTTTTATAGAATTAAATTTTAGCGTACTAAAGATACTTTAATATTGAATTTTAACCATCCTTCTTACTGGAGCATATTAATGTGTAATGTGTTATTGTTTAATTTTAGCTGTAATGAGGTTAAGATTAGTTTTCATAAATATTTTTCCTAAGTAAAATTGATAAATTAAAAATGTTAAACTAGTTATGTCTCATTTCTTGTGTTTTAATTGATGAAAGTTATAATTGAAGCAATGGATATTTTAATTTCAAAAATTAACAGTTGTAATAATAGTTGTTTGTTTCTCTTCAGTTGGGCATATGATATAACAGAATAAAACATATTAATTACTATATGTTAGTAAATGAAGTAAATATTTTTATTGATATATTAATTTGATTGATTAAGATTTCCAATCTGAAAGTGAAAAGTATAAATCTCATTTAAAACTATTATTTATCATTTGAGTAATTAATTGAGTTTGAAAATAATAACAATAATTTATACAAATTTATGTATTAAAATGATTAATTTCAGAAGATATACAAATAACACATAGTAGAAGCAGTGGACCTGGAGGACAAAATGTCAATAAAGGTAAAAAATTTCATGTTTTTTCTTAATTTAAATTTTTATGATTTAAAGTTCAACTAATTTCATTTTGATGTAAATACTACAAATGTTAGATGTCAAATAAGAAACTAAGCCTAAATTATATAACTAATCAAATAACAAGCCAGATTTATTATTGAGCTATATGTTGGATAAACAAATGCTGTATAATTTGAACTGTAGATAGGCAGTTAAGTGAATTAATTAAATAATAAATTTGGCTTATTATTTGATTAACTGGGAATCAAATTAAATGTATCTTCTCTCTAAATAAACATTTAATTTTTTTTTAATTAGCTGGATATATAAATGGAAATAATTTTTTTAAAAGTAAATAAATAATTTGTTTTTAATCTTTACCAGTTTAAACACTTTATAACCCTTAAGAGTATAGAATATTTAAAATGTATTTTTATTTAAATGAAAAATTTATTTAACTTTTAAAAGTTTATCAAACTTTTTGCTTTCATAAAATATAAAAAAAAATTGTTGTATTTATTATTACTCCATTGTTAAAGCAAAAGAGTATGCATGAGGTCACACACAAAAATACTTTTTGTAATTTTTAATATTTTTGTTTAATGTATTCATTGCTACAAATATTTTTAAATAACTCAGCAAATCTATTATATAAAAAAGAAAGTTAATTAATTTGCTCTTTATGAATTTTGACACAATTTGAACAAATACATTGAAACTTTTTATTGCAAGGTATTATCTCATCTAGATGGAGATCAACAACTACCTTCAGGTAAATCAACTTCAACCACTATCCACAACAGATTTCCCTTTCTATATGACAAGTGAGATGGAGTATTCAAATAGGAAAATTATTTAATATGAAGTCTAATTAAAATGTCTTTAGGGGTTTTGAGTGCAGTAAGTTTAAATATTTGGTCCACATTTTGTGAAATTTGATTCGTACATGGGAAGTGTCAGTTGGAGTAGGTACAAGCCAAACTACAAATCAGGTTTCTTCTATACCCACATATTATAGTTATGTCTTCTATATGTTTTAGCTTTTTTAAATTGTCTTCCATGTTTGTATTGTGATCTCTGTGTACCAACCCCAATAACCTAAGAGACTCCAACAACAAACACAACCCTAACCTCAGATGCACTCTGGTGGAGTATGACTATGATTTACATACATTTCCAAGGAAATAGCTGACAATACTGCTACTAAGTTAGCATACAAGTGCGTTTCCATGCTATATAATTTGCTACACAACAGAAAAGATAAGGCTCAAATGGTATACAAGGTTCTGGTAAGGGACAGCAGATTCCAAAAAGATCTGGTGTACATTGGGTACACTAAGCACTCCATACGCAAAAGGTTACAAGAATATCATTACAATATTATAAACAAAAAAAGATACCACTTTCCTGTTTATTACATTAGAAAGACTGACATGCAAGCTGATCTTCAAAATTCCATGTTAATCAAACAGTCCTAGCAAACTGACCACATCGGGGGCTCTAGAAGCTTTAGAAATGTACAAAGCTACCTGACAGACAATTGCATTAACTTTAAAGATAGAAAAAATATCTCATATGCTTGGCAATATTTTTATGAAAAACCAGGCAATACCAACATAAATTAGTTATTATTTTTGTGGTATATTTATGTATAATTATTTCTTTATTTGTATTTGCTTTAATTTTATACATGGTAATAGGCAAACTAATCTTTATTTATTCAATTTTATATTCAATATCTTTATATTTTACTCCAAAAAAAAAAAAAAAAAAAGAAACATTTTTGAAATTGAAATTAGTTCTGCACATTCCAATTTAGAATGTTGTTGACCTGAAGCAGATCTTGTGTAAGATCAAAACATCTGTTGAATTTACATTAAATTATTTACTGGAATTATTAAAGTTTTGATTGGTGTATTTAATTATAGTTATTGATCCAGTTAATGTGAAGAAGTTAATTTTGAAATAAAGCTTTCTTAACTCGTAACATTGAGCTCAAAAATATTATTTTGCCTAATATCTTATTTAAGGTTTATTAGATGAAACTTTATGTAGTATTTCAACATTTCACTTTTGCTAATCCAAACCTATGATAATCCATACTAGTTTTGTTTATTTTCGGTCAAAAACAAAAGGATATCTATAATTTTGTTTTGAGACATGATTAGTATGTAAAATTAATATGTAATACTCATTTAATTTAATAAAAGTATATATATATCAAAAATGACAAAAAATTATTTAAAATACAGGGTTTTGCAAAAGGAATACTACAATTTTAAATTACTGTAATTATGTTAATTATTATCTGAGAAGTATGCAATGCAATGTATATTCAATTAATAGAGTAATTGTTTGAGTTTCATCTCCCATCTGCATTCAAATGTCTTGTTGTCTACTATCTCTAGGAAGTGCTGTAAACAAAAATGGCATCTATGCAATAGAGGTGTTTGTGTTCTGCAGTTTGTAAAGTCAGAATCACTCATCATTGTCCAACATGAGTAATCTGCAGCTCCTGCAGGAGCAGTTGACATTTTCATTTATGGCACTTCCTAAATGAGGACTTTGTATTTGTATATGTATTTGCTTGTAATCCTCTTTGATTTTTGATCAAAGAGGATTTCAAGCATCTAAGATCAAAGGCTTTAATTGCATTGTTTAATTATTTCTTAGTTTTTAATACAATATATTTATTTAATTGTATCCATTTCAACAAGTAATTTAACAATGAAGTTGTAACATTCAATTTTTTAAGATAAAGCTTAACTTATAAGCAGATGTGACTTTTAATTTTTTTATATTAATTATGATTGTTAAAATATTATGATGTAACAGAGAAAAAAGAATTATTATGTGCTTATTGTAATATTTCTGTAAAAAAAAATTTAGGAAAAATTAGTGGAGATTTTAAAAATTAGACAAGAACTCAAAATATTGCAGTCATTTATTACATCAGATAAATTTATAGTCCATGAAGGGAATGTAACATATTAAGAGAGAGTTTTTTTAATATTATTAACTAAACTTTAATTTCTAAAAATAAGTTATTTGATTTGATTTTTAACTGATTATAAAAATTAAATCAATTTGGAAATAAAACTTTTTATAAATTGATTTATTCAATGTATGAATTTTTGAAATAAAAATATATAAAATTTTGAAAAATTGAATACTTAATTAAATATTAAAATAATAACTTGAAAAAAATATTATACATAAAAAATAAATTTAAATATATTATGTTATTTATCAAGAATTATTATTTTTAATAGCTTCTATAAAATTTGTGAGACTCCTTTAACTTTTGTTTGCCTTTTAATGATTTGGTGTGACCTTGGTCCAAGTGATGACCAATTCGGTTCACTTAAATCTCCATTGCATAGGTGCCTTGTTCAGAGGTGTGACACGTCATGGACTACAAAGAGTGACTACATTCAGCTGCTACTGAAAAAAGTTTATTTATTGTGATTTGTATTTATACAATACTGCTGCTATGTTACTGACTTGCAGAGAAAGAGAGAGAGAAACTTATGATCAGATAAATTAGATACTTTAAAATTATTGTATATAACCAGGAGTTAGATGCGTGGTGTTCACGTCTGGCAGCAGTCCAATGTCTTCAAATTTTCTTCTTGGATAGTTCTTTTTGGTAGTTATTCCAAGACCTTCACACCATGCATATTCTTTGTCAGAACTCTCCATCAGAACACCTATCCATCCATTTCTTCTTTTGGCATATCCAGTTATCTGAATGACAAGTTTCTAAATGTTTCTTGATTCAACTGATAAATAATCAGTCTTCACATAAGAATATATACCATGTATGTGTTTAGTTGTAATTGTTGATATTAATATAATCTTTTGCTATAACACTATATCTTTTCCATGGTAGTGGAAGTTGCTGCTGTGATCAAACATATATAACAAAAAACATTGAAGAATAAACCTTTTTAAAATATTTAAATTACATTTTAAAAATATATATTGTATATTTCAGTGAATAGTAAAGTAGAAGTAAGATTTCATTTATCTTCTGCTCAATGGATACCCGAGAAAGGACGAAAGAGAATGGAAGAAATGGTATATTTAATCACTCAAAATAGTTTATAATGAATAAAAAAGTTTCTAATTTTTTTATTTTGTTGTGCTGACATTATTTTTTTTTTAAATAATATTTTAAATATAATTGTCTTGAATTATTTACAGCATAAAAATCAGTTAACAAAAGATGGATATTTAATAATTAAATCTGATAAAACAAGAACTCAAAGCATAAATCTAGCAGACTGTTTAGATAAATTACGTTGTATAGTGAGGGAAGCATGCAAGCCACCACCAGAAGTTTTACCAGAAACAAGTATGATGTTAAAAGCTAGGTGTGTATTGATTTGTTATTTTAAATTATTCTCTTTAGCCCAGCACAAATGAGTCAATATTAAAACAAACTGATCTCTTTGATGTCAAAGCAAGTTTGCTCATAATTAAGCAATGAACTCAATTCAGATTTTTTAACAAAATATAAGTGATCTGTTCAATGAAAATTATATTCAATAACTAGCAACAATCGTGCACAGTCAATCATCACTCCATGGACATAAAAATCAATCTCTGTCTATTTGTCGAAGCAACCACATCAACTTCTTTGTGCTAAGCTTTAGAAATTTATTTATGCTAATTGTTTTCAATATACTGCTTAAATCCATTTAAATTATATATTATATTTAGTAAGAATGATTTTTATTATTGCTTCATTTTGTAATTTCAATACTAAGTGATGTACTATTACATATTAACATGATATAATCATTAAACAGATATCAATATTTGAAACAATACCAGATATCATTAGATTTAAATCTGCAAATTTAATAAAACTGTTAAATTTATAATATAATTAGAAAATAATGCACACAACAAATCACCATAATAAACCAAGACTGATTTAGAAATCATATGTAATGGATAATAAGAATTTTACTAATAAGACAGTAAAAAGACTATAATTGAAAATATAGAGAGAATAAGCATTTGCCAGTAACCACATCTGTTTCAACGTTTTCAGCTTTATTCTTAAAGATAAATTTAGATTTTTTGATAATGCTTGAATGCTCCTTTAAAACATAATTTTTAATTTTGTTTAATTCATAGTTGGTTAGGTTATTCCTTTTTAAAAATTGAAAATAATATCTATTTTTGAGAATTGTGCTGTTTTATTCTGTTTTCATGAAAACAATACAGCATCAGAAATAATTTTGATAAAGCATACTTTTTATCATAAATTGAAATTTTTAATAAATATTTTTCAAAATTACATTAAGTTTTTTATTTTGTAGGAAAGAAAGACAGGCAAGAGAACGTTTGCGACAGAAAAGGATGCATTCTGAAATAAAGAATAGCCGAAAAGCAGTTACAGCACATGATTTATGATTGTATGTAATTACTCTATATCTAGTTTAATTAAGATGTATTATAGTTAGAATTAAACGTTTTTAAGTCCAAAAATTTTTCTTATTTAACTGAAATTAGCTAAAAATGTAATTAAATTAAGTTTAATTATTTTATTTTCAATTAAGAAACAATTTATAAATGAAAGCAAAATTTTAGTTGTAAATGGAGTAAAAATTTTCAGATTATACAGCAAAATAGGCAGTTGCTATATTAGATAAATATAGTATTTTAAGGTTATTGTTTCTAGGCATTTTTCATTTTGATATTTAAAAAAAAAATTTTTTTAACATTACTTGAACAAAAAAAGCACTAGAAAATCAGTTTTAATACAATTATATAAATCTTATCATAAATTGTAAAATGCATGTTTTTTTCTTAGATTTTTAAATATTGAATATGATGATAATGTTTAATTTCTGTTATAACAAGATTTTAGATGGGAATGGAAATACTTTTATTAAATTATTTTTATTTGCTGGCCAGATAGCCAAGGTAGGGTGTCATTCTACTATTCTTGAAGATGCAGGATTGAATTTGGGTAGCTGAAGAATCCTAGGAATTTTTCATACATAGTCTGTCCCAGATGTTAAGCTCTGTCTTTCACCATCTATCTATCCATTTTTACCATGCCCTCTTAATATCCACAGAGTAGAAAGAGAAAAAAATGGAAAAAAGAAAAGATTGTAATCTTTTGTAATCTGTAAAAAATTTTCATGAATGATCTGTAATCTTTTGTAACTTTTTATTCTATCAGAATCAATGTGATGAGTAGAAAAATAGTATGATTTGGAATG